TTTGATGCTGCTATTGATTTTTGTCGAAATTCTGTTATTTAATTTAAAAAAAATCTTGCTTCTCCAATTCTATTGCTGCACATTGCTTCTGAATTTTCTCCTTCACTGCTGATAATATTAAAGAAAGAAACTTAGTAAAACATTTCCTATCTTTATTTGTAAGGATTTTTATGAAGTTTTGGAATTAAGTGTATGTATGGCACCTGATCCCACCTCTGATGTTTTGGAGGTTCTTGTTTGCTCTGCTCATATTTTGTAATGTTTAATGGACTTTTGAGCTTTAATACTGTTCGTTATCTCCATATATTTCATGTATCTTATTCAAATTTACTTTGGTTGTTACAAATACCACAAAGTATGATTTTGAATAATCTCTTCCTTAGAAATGGAAAAATGTTTATCCGTTTAATAATATCCTGTTACTATCTGCGTGTGTTTATGTGTTGTTTCTTTCATGCAGGGACAAAGGCTGGAAAAAGACAGTGTTCCATCTGTTGTTATTGAGGAATATCCTATAGTTTCGTGCCAATAAATAACAGATTGAACGATTTCTCAGTCCTTTCATAATCCATGAATTGTGGACATTTTTGAAGAGAATTTAAACTTGAGGAAAAGTAGAAATACAATTATATTATACATAGGGAGTTATATATGAAACAAGAAATTACATATAATAGAAATTACATGATAGAAATTACTAACGATACACAGGCATGACATATAATCACGATTTTCGGTAAATTGTTCTCTGTATACGAGTTTAAAATGTATAAATGGGGCTGTTGCAGATTTGTCACCGGAAATCCTGAACGCTTTGCATGTGGATCAAGCCTCTTTCAAACTGATATTTATCTGCTATGAGCTAATTGACCTCGGTCATAAAGTCTCAACTTCTCAACCGAAAAGGGTTTGTAATGATACTTCCTGACCTGACATGTTGACTTTTTCTACTGATGATGCTTTTGATTAACATTTCGTTATTCCATTGTAAGCATTTTAATCTTGGTGATCTGCATGCTTCAAATATTACATCGACGATCTACAGAAGAACTGACAGATCTCCTTGAAGAGATCTGACGTCTCATGACGTTTATTTGACAAGTCTACAACAAAGTCATTCAAGAAATTTGAGGATTATAAAATTAAAAGGGAGAGAGAGAAGAAAAAGAAAAAATATAAAAATCATGCAATCACATGAAAAAAAAACATAAACAAAACACACACAGTCACCCCCTCAGACATACACACAATGTAGATTTGACGAAACAGATGTTCCTCCAGAACAGCTTTAACCTTACAGTTAAAGATCTGATCGTGGGTCAATGTCATGACATAGCATTTGGTTTTTCCTCAGATACTTCCATTTGAATAATTCCAATCAAGAGTTCCATTGGCAAGGTGATTACACGACTTCAACGCTCCAGCTCATGACACATCTTCCGGTCATGGACAACAACACATTTAAGTTTATATCCATTCCAATCAAGAGTTGGGACACTTTTTGTCGGACAAATATTCAGACCGGTAAAAAAGGCAGTCATACCAAAATGGGGATATGGTGTTCGACTGTGAATGTATGCAGATGTTACATATGGTGGAGTATCATATATTATATTTTGTATAATAAATATGTGAATAAAGTTGTAAATTTAATAAATTGTGTGATTATTACAATATTACCAGTGTCCTCAAGACGGGGAGGACCCCGTCACAGATGAAAAGAGATTATCATAGTAAGCAGCGAAGTTATGCATAATAATTAATTTCAATGTTAAAAATATGTAAGCGTAAAGTTCATGGCCATGCTTGTAAAAGGTTCGGAGTTTCCCTTGTTTTCTACAGTAACACAAAACACATGCAACACAGCTGTAAATTACAAGTGAATTGATTCCAGGTGTATTCTGCAGGAAACTCAGTCTGTCTTATTATGCAAAGTTTCACTGCAACTAAAAAGTACGTGTAACTTTATTCTTGTATCTTAATTCTGGATCTTTGGAAGCATTATTATGGATAATTGATTTAAAAGATCTTGAATGCAAATACTAGCATTGATTGCAATTGCAGCTTACGTCAATTAAATAGTACTGGAGCGTATATTTTCCTATTAAAATGCCATCGGTATAATTGTCAAGTAATCTCCTATCATTTATTCCTACAGATTTTTAATCTACAAATTACAATAAGGTGTTTTATCTTTTGATTCTTTTTTTTTTTTTGGAAAAAAGATTACACATGTAATTCAACTTCAAAACACTTTTCACAGCATGATCAAACCTTCCAATATAGAATCCTTAGATCCAATACCCAGCGTAATGCTTTTCCAGGGTCCCATTTTTCCAATGCGGGCCCACTTGAAAACCTCAGGAGAAATATCCTGAAATGCTTGAATGGCTAGAAAAAAAATAGTGCTGTGATGTCATCGTCAACAGTCGACCGCCAGATAATCAATGCACTATGCATGTAATGTTTCATGTTTGTATTAAATATCTGTCCAGAAGAAGGAAGTCCTCCGGAGAATATCACAGTTAGGTAAGAATGTGTTCTTTGTGAAGAATTTAAGATTTAAGAAAAAATGACAGTCACTTATTTAAGCTGTGTAAAAGTGTAAACAATTGAAAAACAACGTAGTATACTAGCTTTTTAAAAATTTAAGTATATGTAGGTCACAAACACACATGTCGATTCACGATGTGTTATCTAAAAAGTTGTAACGTGTGATCAAGTGCAACGTAAAATTGACTTGTTCCTGCTTGATTCTAACCTTGATTTAATATAAAAAAAAAAAAGATGAAAAATTATACAATGCTTTCCTAATGATCTTATAATGCATAATTAATGATATATTCTTTAGTGACAAAAGACCCAGCATTTGGTGTAAACCATTTTAAGTATGAAGTACGAGTAGGGCATGATATACTAATTCAGATAATGATCAAATCATGGCGTCCTCCTTTATATATAAAGAAAACCAACACAAGACCATTCAGCAGTGCGTTCTAACATTATAAAATCATATAAGTATAGACAATGCCTTGTTCATTTGCAAGTGTAACAAGTGGTTGTAACAAATACAATTTTTAATTTGCATTATTTTGATCTGGGTGTTACTTTATGCATATCGACCTACCGTTACGGTTACCTAACAATTTTTCCTCGCATAAAACGTTTTTTTAACTTACTTAAATTTAGAGTGCAAATGGGAAATAGATAATTTTGTCATTTTTGTTTTTCAAATTTATGTTAAAAGAAGAAACTATAATGCTTTTAAAATCACTTTGAAATGGAAAAAAATATATTTACATAATTGAAAAAAAAAAGAAAATCTAACCATGACTGGCAAATGGATCGATAGTTGAATTCCTAAGCTGAGACAAACCAAACTTGTTCAAACTGGTATTGCAAAATCAAAGACAAATTTCATTTTTTTTCTCAATAATGTCTTTGTGCATGTGATCTTTCTTGATGAGCTGATGTAAAACAATTCAACTATTAATCTTTTCTTCTAGTTATGAAAATACATTTTTTTTATATTAGATGATTTTATATTGTATAATCATTTTCAACCGTATTTTGTAATTTCTATCTGCAAATTACAATTTTCATTTAATTGTGCTGTTAAATTGCATAATAAATAATTTTCCGGAGCTTCCTTTGCTGTAATTGGATTTTAATCTTTTCTCTTGAATCCAAATTATCAATAAAATAAGCCCGTTTATAAAGTGTAAAAAATAATGAAGCCATTATACAACTTAGATAAAAAACATTAAAAATGCATACAATTTCAAAATTGTAAGACGCCAACAACACCTGGTTTGAAAAATACAAAATATGAAAATTACTCAAGGCAATGCATTGTAAAAAGAATACAAAAAATGAAGAAAATTATATACAAACATCTCTCTCGACCATCCCTATGCGTGTGTTTTCACTCATTAGACCTTTTTTGAGGACTACACAGATTTTGACATAATATTCCAGCCATCAAAACAAACTCAAAACAGTTTATCATTGCATTTTTATCAGGTAATGTAACCTGGCATGACAGGGGGAATTTTTAAACAATGAGATACTTTCTTGGTTTATACGGGGGTGAACAGTTGCAATATTGCAGGACAGTAGTTATCAATACCTTGTTCATTCCAAAAACTATTACATTGTATGCATGTGATTAGAAAATCCACACGAATCTAAAGAATGCTGTGCATACGATCAAACTACGAGTTCTTAGTAGTTTCAATAAATTATGTACATGAATATTGTATAGTATATATAATTTTATTTTCTGGGCCAGAGAACAATTTTGACCAGTTCTGAAATAAACCTTGCCAGATTTCGATAGCGGGAACCCTGATGATGAACAACTTTTTAATCTCATAAAATGGTATAGCCAAAGTTTCTTTTGAATCTTTTGTAGATATCAAATTGAAACCTTGCATGTTATTTATCGTAAATTTTGTAAATTAAGTAGAGTATTTTCTTTTATTCACTAATAAATGAAAACACTTTGGAAATTTGTAAGCTTTGGGATGTGGATGGCGGGGGAGGGGAGATGGAGTAAAGGTTAAAGATGAAAGCGAATATTCTATCTAGCAAGTAGAATGGGTAGATATTGTAGAGTTCTTTTGAACTATTTGTTTTATTCAGAACACATTAGACGTAAATCTCTCTCTCTCTCTCTCTCTCTCTGCACAAATGAGGGGAGCGGATTTTCAACTCCACTGGTCAACTGAATTGACAAATTATTTTATTCACACATTGCTTTCTGTGCCTGTAATGCACAGAGATAAGTGAGACAGAGAACCTAATAATGGAAATAAATCCTTTCCTTATTGTTTTCCCGTGTACCCAATCGAAAACTAGGATGTTATTCAGATGACTGTAGATGACATAAGGCTTTTGATTAAGATTACAAAACGTACTGTTCAGATAAAGCTTAACTAACGTGGTTCTACCACCCAGGAAAGAGGAAGAAAAACGACTCTATGAGAAAGATGCTAATACATTGAGGAAGAGAAAAGATGTTCTCTGAGAACGTTGGACCTAATATGACCCAGATCGACCCCTGGGACAAGTTCCGGTTGACCCTGATTGATGTGATAGACTCCGATAATGTAACACGGCGTGAACTTTTTCAACTGTCACAATCTAAGACTGGCAAAGTTACGGTAAGAAAGTTTAAAAATATTATTTCAAAAGTTTTCAGTAGAATTTTGTTTGTAAACAATGTTGCAAAATTTCATTTGAAGTCTTCTGTTAACTCATTATTTGTTGATGAAAGTACAATGGAGGAATACAACCTCGAGTATTTTGTTTTTTGATTTTTTTGAAAACATCATGTTGAAGATATGAAAATTCATTGTACACGATATATTTAAATTGTTCTTCTTTAATGCTATCATACAAATTTTAAAAGTTGCACATGATACACAAGGTCAGAGTCGAGAAATCTGTACTTTCAAAAAAAAAAAAAAAAAAAGTAATTTTGAAAACATTTTAAAAATTTTTGTCTGTCGATATTGTACAGGACGGTATAAGCTATTTCGAGGCTTTAGATGGGCATTTCGAACATAAAAGGGATGCTGTCGTCGAGTTTTTGATCCACTTAACAACAGAAACAAAACTGCATTTGGATGAGGGCACAACCTCCTTGCCCTCAATTCTAAAAGAATACACAGAGCAACGCAGGAAGAACGACGAGAAAATGAAGCAATTGAAAATCTGGAGTAAATGTGACCTCATTGGGAGAGAAGAGGAGATACAAAAAGCCATGGATTCTCTCCAAAATCAGCAAAGTAAAGGTGAAGTATATATCAATGTATGCTGGAATTTGTATTTTTTATTTTCACTTGTTACTTGTGACATGTGGATCTGTTATTTCTGACTTCAATGAAATATGTGGAGGTAACGAACAGTATTCGGGCTAAAAAGTCCATTTAACATTACAAAATAGGAGCATTGCAAACACGGACCTCTAAGACATCAGAGGTGGGATTAGGTGCCCTGGAGGAGTGAGCATTCCCTGCCGACCGGTTTCACCCACCGTATGCTCCTTGTCATGATCGGGAAATAACCGAAAAATCCATCGACAATCAGTGTGTAAATATTGTTTATTGTAGGTGTGTGGATTTGCGGATTGGGTGGAATGGGGAAAACCAGTGTTGCTGACGAAGTTTGTAGGAGGTTGTCAGGAGAAACAGCAAATTGGAGGATCCTAAAAGTCGAATTAAGGTACTAGTTGCCGCAAAGAATTGCATACTGTTAACTTGTTTAATTGCTATCATGAGTGAGTTATAGAAAGATGTCCTACCTTAATAATTTAATTTGTGATTTTAATGCACTTATTTGTTTTACGTTGTGTTTACACCCAGAACTATCTGACTATAGTAAACGAAAGTGTCATTTCAGTCAATGTTCATTTTAATGAAACATTTAAGTTTTTAGTTTTTATACTTTTATACTTGAAATTAAGTGAACTATATCGTGTGAGGTAACTCCATGTATCCTCATTTTTTTTCTGAGGCAAAAACATTCTTACCATTTTATTTCATCTGTCTACCAAACTATGAGACTTGAATAAATCTATGTCTGAAAGGGGTTTGGGATATTAAAATAAAAATTTAAAGTGATTCATTGTAAGTCTTATTTACAAGGGAACAGAAACACGTGCGAGATCTCGTTAGAAGTGCACTCATTCTGCTTGGAGAATTGTTGATGACGTCAAATAGAGAAGAATTATCAGATGGAGACTTGGAGTCCGCAAGTAAATTAGATGAGGAGGACTATTTTGAAGATATTAATCAAGATTCACGGAGACATCTTTTGATTAAAAGATGTTGTGAAAGCTCAGGTAAATTGTAACAATCCCAAAATAACAATAATAATCAATTTCTCTACTATTTACTCTATATTAAGTATGCTTGATTTGTTACTTTTTATGCGAATTGAATAATTAAATAAATTTGAGACAATGAAAGCAATTCTTGCTACACACAAGAGCACACAGAAATGTATATCTTATTATTGTAAATCAAGATGACATCATGACGAAAAACCAAAACTATGTCCAAATGAATAACAAATTGAGACTTAATTTTTTGCAGAGCAGAATAAAGTGTTCCTTTTAGACAATATGGATGACATTTTAGCGAGTAATGAGGGAGACGTTATTAGCTTTCTAAATAAATTGGTAAATATGCTTATTGAAGCCGAGGAGGATGAAATGCATCAAGGGAAGGTAATGAGTCATATAATTTACATTTATGATATTTCTTGACGTGATTTGCTTTTAAATATGCCTTTATAGAGAGAATAACGTATATATTTACTTCTGATAATTTTTATTCCTTTTTCTGAATAGGATGAAATAATAAGTTTATTTGTTCTGAAAGGGTTTTTTTTTCAAACTTTTATCTTTTAGACAAGGGTTTTAATAACCTCTCGTCCAAGTCTCCCGTCAACCGAGAAAGCTCGGATTCTTCGAGAAGTCTTCGTCGAAATTAAACTTCAAGAGCTTTCTGAGCAACATGCGATAACACTTTTCAAGCAGGAGTTGACCCAGCAAAATATACAATGTGTTAGTACAACTTACTGTGTAAAGAATAATGAATAAAAAATAATTAATTAATTGTAGTAATGATTTAATTGATCCATAAATTTATTAACAGAAATAAGATTTAATTTGAAAATATCATACACTGATGACTGTTATTTCTACTTTTTATCCAGAAAGAGGAAGACATAAAGAAGATGGCATCCATCTGTTCGTACTGTCCATTGGCCATGCTTTCTCTTAGCAGTGTATTAAAGGACATATCTCCGAGTAAACTAACAGAAACCTTTTCACTGTGCACCAACTCTGCAATTCAAAACAATATCATTGGAATAGAGTCTTGTCTACAACAATCCTTCTCAGTGCTTGACAAATCGGGTAAACAAAATAAAATAACGTGCACCCTTATGCAACTGTTTGTTTTTCGAACAATAAAGTTTGATATCGAGGCTGCAAAGTTTGTTTGTGGTAGAAGCACAAATTCAGGAAAGGCAAGCATGGAATGGGAGATCGTCTATTTGAAACGATATCATTTCCTAGAATCATCCATCGGAACTTTATTTAAATCAGAGTCAAATGATCAAATTATAAAAGAAAAGTCTTCACAAAAAGCATATTCATCAAAATGCTATTATATTCATCCACTAGTTTATCAATTCTTAAAATCCAAGGAGGCACAATATCAAGTCCTTGTTAACAATGCAAGGGAAAGATATGTCGAGTATATCTACAAAACTGTCTCAAAAACGGCAAAAATGGCTTCTGCTGAATCGCTAAGGACCATTGCCAAATACGAACCTCATTTTCACACTTTCTACGAATATGTCATGGATTTACATACAAATCCTAAACCTAATTTAAGAGATCTCCCCAGTGCATTAAGTGTTGTCAATACTGAATGGTTAACGGATCTGATTTTGGACACCACTCGCCGATGTCAATATTATAAAAATATGATTTCTAACGCTGAAGAAGATGACAAGGTATTAGACCTTGTTTATTATAAAACTTGTCTGGCAAAACTTTATTTTGATAATGAAAGAATGGAGAGCTGCCAAAGAATTTTGACCGAAATTGATTCTACAATAATTGAACATGAACAACTCTCAAAAGCAGCTAATTATGTGAAAAACAAACGAAGGGTTAAGGATTACCCTTCTGCATTGATTCTTGGTGGGTTCTGGACTATGCATGCTCGTTATCTAAGCATGCTTGAAAATTACGGTGAAGCCAAACAGTACCTTGAAATGGCATTATGTACAACAATGAAAAAGGAAAGGGACTGTTGGTCACAGATTGCAAATATTTACAATTTAATGGGAGTTATTGCCTTTAAATCCAAGGAATATAAAACTGCGAGAGAATACCACTCAAGAGCTCTCACAACAGTCGAAAGAGAACACGATGATTTCATCGATAAAGACATTTTCCTGACTAACATAGGAAGTGCATTCTTAAAGGAGTGGGATCAAGACCGTCTACGTGAGGATGCCTTACAAGAAGCAGAGATTTACTATAATACTGCTCTTTCTATGGAAACAGCAAGAGCGGAAAAAAGAGCCAAAATTCTTAAAATGAGGGGCAAACTTTACCTTTTACAAGGGAAATTCGAAGCTTCGGAAAAAGATTTACAAGAAAGTTTGAATATATGGAAACAATATGTACATCCACCCCATATAAATCTGATATCGTCCTACCAAGATATAAGTTCCCTGTTCGTCCAGAAAGCAACGCACTTGTTGAAATTAAGGGAGCCTTGTACGTATTGTATATTAACTTTTTTTATATTACACACACAATATATATATATATATATATATATATATATATATATATATATATATATATATATATATATATATATATATATATATATATATATCCTTCACTTATCTATTATTTTTTTTTACTGTATAAAGCGACAGAGGCAGCATCTTTCCTTGCCAGAGCTGATGCTAACTACAAGGAGATTCAAAGACAGATTGAACAAGGAGGATTTTTCAACTGGCAGAAGAACAAAATTCTTTACGATCAAATAAAGAAGAATCACAAGATAGTTTTAAGACAACTGAATAAGGATCAGAGGGAAATTGAACAAGTGAATGGCTTCTATCTGGTAAGACCATATTTCTACAAGGTATAAATAATATTAACTAATGATATCCAAATTGAATACATATTATGACTTTTGATCGTTTGATGTCCAGTACAATATATGTTAGTTCTTTTTTATGCAAACAGGATTTTGAAGCTGGAAAACTTAACAAGAAAATCCTCCGTAATCAAAGTATGGACCTAGACAATGAACTTTCTTCATTTTCAACTGATCAAAGCAATGAAGGGTCTGATTCGCCATCATCCGACTCTGAATCTTCATTTCTCAGTATAACATCCGAGGAGGAAATCTCAGTTATTAAAAGATGTGATGATAGAACACTGAGTTTTGATGGATGCACAGAAAGTGTGGGCGTTACAAATTCTGATGAAACAATGAACGTTATAAGTACACGAAAGCCAGAAAGCAGCCTTCACAGCGGGTCTATAGACAGTGGTATGGGAGATTCCATCACGAGTTTCCCCTCTTTGACAGATTCTGATTCGAAACCGAGGCTGTCGTTCATACCCTCAGGGTCAATGGAGGAAGATGTATTCTCTTCTTGTGAAAAAAGTGTCTTGAATCATTTCAATTTTCTTAAAAAGAGGTCATCTTCGGACAGGCATAACACATGTACATTAAAAAGACAAAAAGGTTTTGATGAAAATATTCAATGCATGGGTCCTAACAATGCATATTAGAATATTTTCGCTAACATCCGCTTTTGAGTAGGTTATCCCAAAACTATCGAACAATCATTCAGTTCGGTTAATTGCAAAGTTAACTCTTTATTGTATGTGTTAATTGCTTTTCAATTATTGAATGTTTTTGTGATTTTTTTCAAATGCCTATCTTCCAACTGCACACCAGTTTGTTTCTTTTCTTTGATTTTATTCGGATCAATAATGATCTACCGTCTGTGATATGAGTAAAAATTTACAGATGAAAGATATGAAAGGAGTGTAACATTTTCATTGTTGATTTTAATAATACTTTTATATGCCATGCTCCATTACGGATTTCAAACTTCTTTTTGTAGCAATAAATTACATAAAAGATTTTTAGTTTTTTGTGCACTGTTTGTTTATAACTCACCAGAACCAAAGGCTCTCGTGAGCCTTTTCCGATCATACTTTGTTTTTGTTTCACCTGTCTCTCTGTTAACGTTTTAGATTTTTGACTTCTCAATGACCACAGGACACAGAGATTGAATGCAGTCTATAATTAATTATAATTAAAGCAAAGTAGATACTGTCTTACGCGAATGAAACGATTTATTTTAAACTAACTTGAATTATTCTAGGACTTTTTTTAAAGTTCTACTAGCTATTACTGAACAGGTATCATATGATATCTAATGTAATTGTGATTGATAAATAGCGTGTCAAAAAAATATAAAGTGATGGTTGAATTATACTCCTAAAAAGGGATCTATTTTCATGTTAAAATGTATGTAGTGTCATTTTATAATGATAAACGTTGTTGAAAACGAGTGTTGTAGATATTGTAAGGGACAATATCCTGTCGATACTTATATGTTTTTAGCACGACAAATATTTTAAAGGAGATAACGTATACTTAGCTCAATGAAGAGGGTTTTTGTAGGTTTGGAAAGTGTCCATTTCCAGATAGGACCGATGCAAAGTTTTGCACATATCCTTTAGTCTATGCATGCACCGCAGTGTATCTACATTTAGCAAAGAAAATCTGCAGGATTACAAGGTATTTATGTAATTAATTACCGAAGTAGAATATCAGTAATCTTTTTCTTTTCCACTACTTCAAAAATAAAAAAAAAATGGGAAAAAAATGATGTTGAAATCTTGTTTGCATTACGTTAGTTATTTGTAGTTTTACGGTGTTTTTAAGTATTATTCAACCTGGAATTTAAATGCCTATAATAAAGTATATCGTTACTGAGGAAGTGTCATATAACATAAATCTATGGATTGTTTAGTGAAGTGCCCTTTTTCTAAATACATGGTACATATTATTAAGCTGTTTTTAAAATGCTTGTACTTGCCGATTTGTGGCTTTCAAAATAAACAGGAAAATTTTAACCAGTCACTGTATAAAGGTTTCGTTTATAAGAGTTAATCGATTGCAGTTTTTTTTACCTACAAAAAGAGAAATGTAAAGAAGGACATTGGATAATAAAAGCAAGTGTTTTATACTTTGTTATTCATTGAACTTATTTCAAAAATTACTTACGCAGATTGTAACTCAATTTAAGATATATTTATATCTCATCGTCCTATTTTAGGTTCCTCAACAGGATAGCTTACGTAACATTATCAAGATTGACGTAATGCAGAGTCTAAGACGGGGTTTGAACCAGCCGCTAGAGTCCTGGGATGGAATTAAAAATTGTCTCATTGAGGTCATCAATACAGACAAGGACATAGAACGAGAATTCTTTGCCTTATCCACTGCTAAACTGGGACAAGAAGTCAAGGTCAGATATGATTTAATCATGTATACTATGTAGGGGATATATATGACTAAACTATTAATATTGAACATAGAATGTATGAAAGACATACACATAAATATCTCATATACATGTTATTTACCGAGTAGTTTTCATATGCCATTTTCTTTGCTCAAAATAACAGGATATTAAATATATTTACATTTTTATTTCTCAAGTGCGTGTGGTTAAAATGTTGGTGAATACACAATAAATATAAGTTGCTACCGGCAATGCCTTACCCATTGCACACTACAACAGTCTTTCAAGATTTTGAGTTGGTGAAATGAATTGAGGCGATAATTTCCAAATATAATATGAGGTACACATTGTATGATTTGTTTTGTAAAACAACAAAAACTATTTCTTGTAATTCTTTCTATTTTTAGAATGGAGAACAATTTTTCCAGACCCTTGAAAATAGTTTTGGGGAACATTTTCATGTAGTCGAATTCCTCATCAATCTGACCGAAGAAGTTAGTCTTCATGTTGATGATGGTTCAACTAAAGTCGCCGACGATCTTCGCCAATACATAGATAAATTGAAAGAATATGACATTAAATTGAGTGAAAAATGCATATAGTATATATATTTGTTCCCCACAAGGTCCAGAGGGTGAAGCGTCCGGGTTTATATTGGAGTCCGGATGAACGAGACTCCATTGTATATCTTTATATTCTAGTTCGCAAATACATGTTCTACCCAAACTACAAATACATATATAAATCTGCATGTAACTGTGTAGCTACAAATTATTCTAGTCATTGATATTGAAGAGACGTAATTTGTGCATCTGGTGCATCAAAATTGGTACCGTGTATGATTTACATTATGACCCCTGGGTCGAGGCCTCTGCTGGTGGACTGTTTGTCCCCTAGCATCTCTACAGCCCAGTAGCCTAGTACTTCGGTACTAGTTTAAAAATACGGATATAAATTCAATTACTGTGATAAAAATTAAAAATTTATTTCAAAATTAAGGATTATCTCCCTCATGCATAGCTCTAATCCTTCGACGTATATGGCTCCAGTCTTTGGCACTTTTTTCAGCTCTTCAAAGTCTTTTTTATTTAAATATATTGGATTTCCAACCTTTCGGCATGAGCATCACTGAAGAGACGTAATTTGTCGAAATGCGCATCTGGTGCATCAAAATTGGTACCGTACTGATTTACTGATACAGTACATGATTTACATTAGTATCAAACGTATGTGATATCAATCTGAATTTTTTCTTCAGGACTTCTAATATGCGGTATGGGTGGGATGGGAAAAACAAGTTTGGCGGTGGAGGTATGTCGTCGTCTCTACATGGAAGACAAATGGAATGTGTTTAAAGTAGATTTAAGGTAAAGCGGCGGATTTCATTACCGAGGCGATTCAGATTGTTTATATGTGTACATGTACAGCTCATTCATTAGTGTGATTTATACACAGAGAAGAGACAACTCTTCGCGATTTAATACGCAACACATTGACCAAATTTGGAGAGAGGTTGCCATTTTTATCCATGGATCACACGGCAGACGATGAAATAGGGGATAACGATTTGAGGCATTTACAGAAATTGGTTATAAAGAGATTTAATGAAGAAAAATCGGGTACACATTTTTTGGAAGAGATTTTTATTTGTGAATGTAATTTTTGTATTTAGGCATCCTGCTTGTACTAAATTTAAGACATATTTATTTTTGAAAATAGATACTGTCTTGTTTTTGGACAACATTGATGGTATTTTATAAAAGGACAGAGAAAGATTTTTTCATTTTGCTCAGCAGCTATTGCAGACGTTGAATACCAGTTTTGGCGAGGATAACCTATTTCCGTCAAAAGTAATATTATATTTCGGGTTTCATTTTTTCCTCACACAGTTCTCATATCAGACAAATGAGTCTTTTATACTAATATGTATTTATAATTGTAGATGAGGATTATTTTCACAGCAAGACAGAAACTGATGACGAGTAAGGCTGTTGGTTTGCGCAGAGGATTGATTCAAGAAGTTGAAATCAAAGGTTTGGATAACGAAGCAGCTGTTGAATTATTTACAATGTCCAACGGAGAAGAGGTAAGAAAGACCGTTGAAAGTATACGATTTTTTTCCCTTTTTTTTTTTTTTTTTTTTTTTTTTTTTTTTTTTTTTTTTTTTTGCTGATTTACAATCCATTTTGAGAAATAGTCCTGTTTTCAATGTGATAATGATGTATGTTTTTTCAGACTAATACTGATACGGTGAGAAAAATTGTTGCTTTCTGTGGAAACTGTCCTTGGCTATTTTATCGTTGTGTAACAGCCTTCGAAACTCTGAAATGACACCAGAGAAGTTATTAATCAACCTCCAAATGACCCAAAATGATGCAGGAGGATTTGAATGTTTTGGAATTGAGTCTTGCTTGAAACAATCTTTCTGTCTTCTGAATAAAAAACTTCAAGAATTTTTAATCAAGTTATCAGTATTTCGTACAGCCCAGTTTGACATCCATGCAGCAGTTGCAATTGCAGGTAGAAGCCAAAACAGTGGAAAGGCAGCAACAGCTCTTGATCTAGTGCATCTCAAAAGCCGACATTTTGTTGAAGTTACTGTGGAAGAATTTTCGATGGGACGGTCTAAAGCTTACTCTTTACATCCGTTAGTTGTTCAGTTCCTGATTAAGGAAACTGCAAGTATGGGTGCAAACGATGATCTCATCAAGGAGGCAAGAAGTAGATTTATCGAACATTTTGATGGAGTGGTTCAGTCCATAGCTTTGGATCTTCATAAGCACCCAATGGAATCCCAAAGAAAGCTCATTCAAAACAAAACTCACATTCAAAGTTTCTTCACCTACGTGATTAACTCTGAAGGAAAACTGAGGCAGACATGCGTCGATTCACCAAGTGTGATGAGTGCAAATCGAAGAGACGAATTATGTTCTGTCATTTTGAGTGATCACGATCGCAATGAGTAATATGATCGATATATAGAGTATGCAAAGGAAAATGGGTTAATTTTGGATGAGATATATTACAAAACAACAAAAGCAAGATTATTCTTTGATATTGATAGATTTGATGAATGTGAGAAGCTTTTAAATGAGACAGAGGACCTCGTGAACAGAGAAAACTCTCTGGATGAAGGGACCAAATCCCCTGTACTAGGATCGTATTACTGGATGAAAGGCAGATTCCACAACGCTAGAACTTATTACAAGAATGCTTTAGCGATGTTTGAAAAGTCTTTATCATTCTATCAAAAAGAACCAGAACTATTTGAAACGGACGTTGCAAACATACACAATTCTATAGGAGTCCTTTACTACAATCAGAAGGAATTTGAAAAGTCTGAATCCTGCCATAGACAAGCGCTAGAGATGACATTGGGGCAGGAGGGAGTTGATGCTGAGGGAATCAATATTCAAGTTTATTATACTAACATTGCAACTGCTCTTGTAGCGCAATGGCAAAAGCTATCAAAATCAAGCAGTCTTGAAGAATCACACCGCCAACTCTTAAACCAAGCTGAGGAGTATTATACTCTTGCGATCTACTACGACCCTAAAGCATCAGAAAGTCGTGCGAAGAAACTGACCAATCGTGGGAAATTGTACCTCAGAATGGAGAGGTACGATGAAGCCGAGCAAGACTTTCTAGAAAGTCTACAGGTCAGGAAAGATACTTTAGTCCCTCCTAATATAAACCTTACACATGCGTACCACAACGTCGATATGTTTTATTTCAGGAAAGGAATAAACCCAAAAACAAGTAAGTCATGATTACCACTCTTGAAGCAAGCGACCAATGTTGTTCTATAATTCTAGACTACTAGTAATGGATATTTGAAGATTGTTGAAAGCAGTACTCTATTTAAGCTTACCTGAGATTCAAAGGCTCGTGTAAGCTTCCCAGTCAGAGAGTGTGCGTTTGTCTGCCTGTTGTAAATTTGTGAACGTTTAACATTTGCATCAAAACCACTGGGTCATTTTCCACAAATTTGGCAAAAAGCATTCTTGGCTAAAATAAATACAATTTTTCCCTGAAGGTGAGGCAATGGGCAATGCCTTATATATACGAAGAAAACATAATTAAAACAAAGAACACGAAATCAATTATTTCAGTGAAATTTATGTTTAAAATTCTTTTAATGAGATCTTTTCAAAAGTAGGAAGTTTCTGAAGATTTTTAGACATGGTATTAATTAGTTGACTGTAGATTTAAATTGTAAAGAAAAATGCCTTTAATGTGAATCAACAATGAAGGTTTCATTCTCACTTATTTGTCAGGATGGGAAATGTGACCATTTGAGTACAATTGTCCTGGTCTTTTATTGCTTTATGTAGAGAGAAAAGGGGTGGGGTGGTGGTGGAGGGTCAGATAGTGCATTATCATCTCTTCAATCATTTTTTTTTTTTGCAAAGCGGTAAAATGTAAAAAAAAAAAAAAGAAGAAAAAAAAGAAGAGTTTTTTCTCGAAACAGATATATATACTGTATGTTTGTTATTCTACAATTCTATATTTAATAATATTTTAGTTTTTACTTTGTACAATCATCACTGTCAAAGGTCGCTAGTTCAGATAGGCACGTAATAAATACCGTTACCTTTTCCTTAAGCACATGTGTGGAAAAGAGTTTGGTTTATCTCAGAATTTAAGTACATAAAACAAACGTTAAATGCTTTTTTATCAGTGAACAAGGTGGATTGCCTCCTACGAGCAGTAGACTTCTATGAAGAAGTGAAGTTTCAGATTGAGAGAGGTGGGATGACTGCTGAAGACACAGCATATAAAGACATTGTTAAAACCCATAAATTGGCACTAAAGGCCATTAATGATGACCGCAGACTTGAACAAGCAAAACAGTTTTATCAAGTTAGTGGTAAACCAAAAAGATGATATTTCCTTCTGGATAATAATTAAATAGCGTTTTTTTCATGTTTAGTTTGGCATTAGGAAAACAGGATTTTTAAATTAAAAGGTAAGAATTATGATAACTTTGTTCTCCACAGAGTTTTGAATCTGGTTTATTTGACAAGAAAATTCGAAAATGGAAGAGTATTGATAAAACCATGACAAAAAGTGAGCGATTGGCATCGACAGGAAAAATCTTTGACAATGATTCTGAATCGAACCACTCTGACTCAGAGGCTGAGACAAGTTCTGACAGTTCTTCTGATCGGAACTCTTCTGTCGAAATCACGGACGAAGAAGACGGCGGTGACGTTTTGGAAGAGGATTCCCAACCACAGAATGGAAAATCAGACGATGAACAAGGAAACATGGAATTCCTATCTTCCACTCAGAAGGATCTCATTCAGAATGTTGAAATGGAAAAAATGGGGCGAGACAAGCTGGACAGTGGAATCGGAAGTTTAACGTCGAGTTGTACTGGATCATCCAGCAATACTGATGACGTAGTTAAGAAAAGAAGAAGGCTTGTATCCATGCCTTCGGGTTCTCTGGAAGATAATGTTTTTACAAAATTTGAAAATCCGTCTTCAGAGTAACTTGTTTATGTCAAATGACAGGATATATACAAAAGGAAATAATTTCAAAAATACTTTATTGTCCTATAGCTTTTCATTGTCTGCAGAAATAACCTTTATATTGTTGAATTCTAGTAGTGAATATTATGATATTGAGTTCAACTTTATTCCAAGATATTGTGTTTGATATTTGTGTAAATCAAAAGGTTTATTCATTGAACGGAGCAACTGCATCACTCATCCTTTGTTATTATACAAAGTTTTAGGCTTCTTACGGAAATGATTCCAGATGTATTTTGTTCAGTAGTTCTTCGGCCGTTGTCCTGCCCGATTTTGACCTTTTTTCGTCGGCCGACCAATTTTGTATCCGTCGGGCAAAGTTAGGATTTCTGCGTCGGTGGCTGATTTCTTCAATTGAAGCAGTCATTGAAAAGTCCGTCAACCAACCCTCGATCATCGTCCGACCATCGGCAGACAGTTTATCAATTAAGTCGGTCGGTCGACATTTAAGTACTGGGTTTTCCACAATGTCGGCCAACTGTGAAAATCAAATTGCGGCACAGCGCTGGATGACGGGGCGACGATTATCCGACTTATAAATATTTAAACTTTTAAAGTCATCGGTGTTCCTAGAAATTGATATGACTGCTTCGCGTCGCCCGATACCAGTGTTGGCCGATCAATTTTTTTTTTTCTTCAACCGACTATACGAAAAAAATTGGTTGCCCGACCATCGATTTGAATGTGATTCAGGTATTAGGAAAACCGACTCAATTCTTCTTTTTTTTTCTACTGGAATATTGGGGTCATGAACACTAGTATTCAAATATTTATCTCTCGCAAAAGGATACAGTAAGAATAATAGATACTGATGGACTCGGAGGTTATTTGTTTGATATTAATTATATAAATGTATTTTTTGTTGTTTAGTCATATGGTTGGGTTTTCTGCCAATACGTCTAGTACTTTCATTTAAAAATAAGCAAATGTTCATTCTTTTGTGTGAGTTTTTGCATGTATTTTTAGATATCGTTAAAACGGCTGGTATTTATCTCATTGAGGCTCAAAAAGTAATTTGATGTAAAGGGTAGTTTTTATTCTAAGAATAAAAAGGTTTTGTTTTGTGCATTTTTCTTTTTTCAAGGTATAAATATTTTATTACCTAGCCACATTTAGGGGTTATTTTAACTATTGATATTACTCCGATCTCAAATTAGAAATCAAACCTTTCTTTTTGTGTTATCTAGTTTACTATATTTTTCTCATAAGTAATGGCAGCAACGATTACAATCATTCCAGTTCCATTCACTGTAATGTATGTATGAAATACCTTTAAGTACATCTACAAACAAATAGTTAATGTATTTTTATTCATTTTTATTAAATTTTACACAAAAAGCTTTTTTGAGAATATTTTTTTGTCATATTTGAATATATCATCGATTTACATTGCAAATGTACACTATTTGACATTATGTTTACAATAAAATTTTGTCAACTTTTAGAATGTAATAAAATATATTTATAAATAAACATCTGTTTTCACAAGATAGGGAAAATAACATTATATTTTTTATCTCATGCGTGTGGTGGATACTACCCATAAGATATATTTTATCTATACTTTATCCATGGGTATTCTTTATCAATAGCACTTCCGGTTTTGACATCTCCTCGCTTCAAAATGTAAATTTATCGAAACTGTTATTTGTGAAAGTTTTTCCGTTATCAAATAAATGTCTATGATGAAAAATTTTCTTTAAAGCACGAAGAGACTCGTTTTACTTCAATGAAATGTCTTTTTTTACTGGCTACTGCGATGCCGGATGCCCCCCTCCCCCGCAATCGTTCTCATAGAAAACGTTAAACATAGTAGTGAAGTTGTTGGCGCAAGATTCATTTGACCATGCAGAAAATTCTAGTCAATTTCAACAATGCTTTCTTACATAAGACTATTACGAAAGCCTATTAGGATCAAAGTACGGTGAAAAAAAAGAATTTCAAAGGCGTTATAACGCCTTTTCAAAAGGCGTTATAACGCGAAAAAAGGCGTTATAACGCGGAAAAAGGCGTTATTACGCCTTTCTAAAAGGCGTTATTACGCCTTTCCAAAAGGCGTTATTATGCCTTTCTAAAAGGCGTTATTACGCCTTTCCAAAAGGCGTTATTACGCCTCCCTAAAAGGCGTTATTACGCCTTTCCAAAAGGCGTTATTACGCCTCCCTAAAAGGCGTTATTACGCCTTTCCAAAAGGCGTTATTACGCCTCTTTTTTTCAATACATGACTTACTTAGCCCACCCTGGGGGCTGATTATAATTAGATTTCCAGGAAAAAAGATTTTTAAATGTGTAAAATATTTTCAGTGTTAAACCATCTTAGTCCTTCTCTGATGCCAGGCGCCTCTACCAAGGTGATGGATTTCAGAAATTTGGTTGAAGGCTAATTGCTCATTATACCTATGCAAATAGTTCGCCTGTTTTTTTTCCAAGAGGAGAGAAAAATATTTCAAATTTGACATGAATTTTTAATACGTGGCTAGCAAAGCCCAAAGCTGGCTCTGCCTATATCCTGGCTTTTCAAAAGTAGAGTGTTGACTTCTCTTAATATGCATGCAAAATGCAAACAGCTGTCTGCGAGATGTGCAGGAATATAGAAAATACTATAATTTATAATATTAAAAGTATAATCTAAATATTGCATAAATAAAGATGGCTTTAGTTCAATCTTTCATATTATTTTTTTTTAAGATAACGCCTTTCTATTTTTGGATATAACTCCTTTTCAAACAGGCCGGTAGTACGAATGCGAGTGGGGGGAGGGTGTTCCCCCACCCCACCAAGTTTAGGCAGTTTATTTTTTTCGGGGGGGGGGGGTTATTTCTTGTTTTTTTTTGTTTGCTTGTCAATTTTATGGGAGGCTGCCCCCCCCCCCCACTTCAAAAGCACGGGCCTGTCAAAGACATAATAATGGCCCTTCAAAAGGCATAATAACGCCCTTTTGAAAGGTGTATTAATGCCTTTTAGAAAGGCGTAATAACGCCTTTTGAAAAGGCGTTATAACGCCTTTTAATTTTTTTTTTCGTAGTTTGATCCTAATAGGCTTTCGTAGACTACATAACTTACCATTGATCTACAAGTAGGCTGGCCTATATAGCACTGTCGCCGTACACAGAATGATTTCAGAGGAGAATTCAATGATTCGTCGGTCCTTACACAACACTGTACATCTGCCAGTCAAAAGTTTGTATCAAAACGAATCTCCCAACAGATTGTCACGTTTGTTTTAAAAGCCGCAGCAAATACCGTTCCAAGATTTCAAGATTTAATATTTTGTATTTACAGATAACTTTCTTTCGGCATGTCATGATCAACGTCAAGTGCGACGTCATCAATTTACGCGTCATCGATTTGGGTCATTCTATATTTAGAGGTCGCGTCATCAAGCTAGGTTAGTGTTAGCTTGATGTGAGGATTACGTGACCTGGTGTGAGGATCACGTGACCTGGTGTACACATTGCGATTTGGGTAGAAATCAATCAGTATAGTTTACAGGGGTTATCTTAAAGTTTTTGTTAAAAACGAAAATCGTATGAGATAAATAGAACATTTATAATTGTGTGATTTGATATTTGATTTATCCAATTCGTTGAAATTGTGTATATTCGCTCTTCAAGCCTCGCGAATATACACCATTTCAACTCGTTGGAAAAACCAAATATCAAATCACACAATGTAGATACATCTATTTACCTATCAGTTGAAAATTCGTTAAAAATCAGCTCTTAAAAATTGTTATTAGATGTTTTTTTAACCTGTGATTATTTAACTTATTTTGATAAATTATGTGAAAATAGTTGCAGGGCTTATGTTCTGTTTAAGGGATTGTTTCAAAATTTGAAATTGTTGGATAAAGTAATGAAGAAGCTGTTGATTTATTTAAATTTTTTCTTGGAGAAGAGTTAAGAAAATCTATAACCTCGCAACCCAGGAGCCATGTTTTAACACAATTTTACTGGATGAAGGGTAGGCTCCTGTACGTCAGATCTCGTATAAAGACTCTCTGGCGATGATGAAACTACGAGGGGTGTGAAAAGATCGCGAACTAATTGAACTACCTCCTTTAAAGAAATAGAATGAGGTTTCAGTGTTCATTATTTTTAAAGTATTCCTCTCTGATCTTAATGCACATCTGCCATTGTTCTACCCACTCGCGATTCACGTGATCCAAGCGGTTACGTGGCATGCTCCGTAGCAGCCTGTTCACTGAAGCTAAGAGATTTTTCCGAGTCATATGTTTCTTACCATGCAAGTTATTTTTTATAACAATAACAGACCGTCTGTCAGAAATGACCAAATCTCGGCAATAGAATGGGTGGATAAGAATATCCCTTCCCAGAATTAGCATGGTGACCATCACAACCCAAGTCCTCTGTCTCGAGAGTGTCGTTTATCCAATGTGGAAAAAGTATGGGCGCCTTCTTTTTTCATATCTCATATGTTTAAAGTCTAAAGTAAACTTATTTTGGGGATTTAATAATTATATTATTGTTCAGATATTCAATTATTTTTCTAATTGTAACTTTTGTTTCAAAACAAATTGCTCAACTAAGGACACATCTTTTTACCGGCTTGCTTTCGCTGGGCTACAGAACAAACATAATTTTTAACCATCTACCTGCCTTCACCAAAACAATGAATCCAATTAATGACTGAACTTCTTGTAAGTCTTTTGTCTTCATAAACTTTGTACAAATTATCTTATTCTACTACAAAAGAATTTCCGAGATATATCTTAAACTCTACAGCCGTTCGTTGCTCGTGTACGACTGAGTCAACCACTTTTTGTCACAAGTCATCTACATATTGACGTCATTTTCCCATTGTGACGTCACTAACACGGAGCAAAACATGATTATATAACATCTGCTATTTATAAAACATGTGTATGACTATATGTGTACCTAATTTCATTCTTCAGGATCTAAATTGTGGTTTTGTAAATATAGAGATAATTCGCGAACTTTTTGATCACCCCTCGTATGAACAGTTCAAGACAGACATTACAAACGTAAACAATTCTACAACAAGCTTTTAATAAACAAAAGGATTTTTTTTTTTTACAATGCTGAAAACTCCCAAAAAAGGACAATCGATGTTGTTCTGGGTCATGTTTCTGAAATGGAAACTGGAGGGTAGGCCTAGAAAGATCTATCTATATTCCGAAGAATCAAATTGTAGGCCCTTAACATCATCAACCATGACATCACAGAGTAGTGTCCTTTCTGACATATATTTCATTTTACTAAATAAAATCTGCATCATGACTATTATAAAATAGTCATATTGCAGATTTTATTTAGTAAAATGAAATATGTCAGAAAGGACAGTAGGGTAAAGAAATTGACGGATCGTAGGAAATTGAACCTTCAAATGAAAAGACATGATGAGACGGACTTTTCAGAAAGTCTTAAAATCAGAAGGACCTCTTGGTTCTTCCGACCATAAACCTTACATATGCTTACCACAGTATTGGTGGGTTTTCTCGTCAAGATAGAAATCATTGCAAAAAGTCATTAAGATAAGCAGTCTTTAAGCTAATGTTCAGTGGTGTTTCTTATCTGGCTGTTATAACTGAATTTGAAGAATAACAAATTATTAGTATCTTTAGAATTTTTTGGAATAGGGAACTGTGTTTTTTTTATATTTATGATAGTAAATATTATACATTTACTGACTGGGTTCGAGGACAACATGCGTTTTGTCAACCCATGCAAGAACTTACCAAACTGTTCGGCTGAGGCTGTAAGACCTCAGGCAAACAGTTTTGTTCGTGGAGTCGACAAAACGCATTTTGCCCTAGAACACAGCCAATAAAAGTTTTGTTAGACCTTTTATTTATTTCATTTTATTTTATTGGCATACATGTATCTTGTGCTGGCTTCCATTTACTCGCACTGCGGTATTATTCGGTCAATTCTGTCACTGTCGAACACCAACGAATGCAAACAAGATTTAGCTGATCCCGCCAACAATGTGACGTTACAATCGGCCTGGTATCTCATCGACGGGTCCAATATCTCACTCTGCGGTCAAACATTGATTGTTTTATGACCGCTCAGTAAAACCATAGGGGCTTGTCTTCCGGATTGTTAAATGTAAAACACATTTAATTTTTTTTAAAATCTACTTTAAATACACTTAAAAGTTGTTAAAAAAAAGATTCTGACACTTTCAGTCAAGAAAAACTTAGTTTAAATAAGACGTACCACACCTATATATATATATATATATATATATATATATATATATATATATATATATATATATATATATATATATATATATATATATATATATATATATATATATATATATATATATATATACATAAACTCTACAAGGGACGAAAGCTCTATCTTGGAAAAAATACCCCCACCCACTTCAGTGCCAATTTCTGGACTCTAAAGCATTAATTTATTTCGTTGTCATGGTTCGGTCCCCTACAGTGATGATTTTCCTAAATGTTGATCCGTTTGTCAGTCGTCAACACGCGTTTAATCAACAGAAAACGGATGCAATTTCTTCGACTTGGAGCTCATCGACCTCGGAAGAACGGAAGTTTACATGGTTGCATGGTAACGACGCAAGGGCGATAATTGTAGTATAACATATAGGGCGCTTGTATAGCAAGTGTCCTGTAAAACAGTAAATTATGTAACAAATTAGTTATACATTAAATGAAATGAGTCTTCCCGGTGCCGCCTTAGCCCGTGAAAACCAAACTTTAGCCAGTATTTATCATTTTCACTGTCTTTTCTTGTCGGTTAACATTTTTTCCGCGAAGCTGGAAGTCCTTGGGTGTTACCATTTGCTTTCGATTACCCTCTGAGTTTTCCCTGTACAATGTTTATCTGCCCTTGAAATTTTGTAAACTTCCGTTCTTCCGAGGTCGATGAGCTTGAAATCGTCCCTTGTAGAGTTTATGTATATAGATGTGGTACGTCTTTTTTAAACTAAGTTTTTCTTGACTGAAAGTGACAGAATATTCATTTTAACAACTTTTAAGTGTATTAAAAGTAGATTTAAAAATTTTAAATTTTATTTTACATTTAACAATCCGGAAGACAAACCCCTATGAGTATAACATTGCAAATGTTAGACTTTTTTTCGTAAAGATTTATATAGGAACTAATTTTTAAAGGTATTACAAAACTTTTTTTTAATGAAAAGGCAAGCAAGTTTCCAATATTTGTTTATTTTAAGGACTAGAAACCCTTTCAAAAAATAAATTATTAAATAGATAAAGTATTTTTTTTAAAGAGTTGATCAAATCTTATCTGACAAAATTTGTCAGTTGATAAACATTAGCATGCTATATTTTCATTTTTTTTTTCATTAGAGTTTGAACATTGAAATTCGAGCAATTTTTTTTTTCAAATGAAGAAGCATCAATAAAACCATGACAAAATGCAAGTGTTTGACCTCAACGTGTTTAACCTCAACAAGAAAACAAATTGACGATTATTCCGAGTCGGAGTGCCAATCTAAGTCGGAATCGGGATTATGTCATAAACTCACTCAGTTCCATTTCTGTCGAGTTCGACTGAAGAAGAAATTTAAGTGACGATTTATCAGACAACTACGGAAGCGTATTAGTGCCACGTAATATTTTTTAAAGTTGGAAATTCCAACTTTAAAGTTGGCTTTTCCAACTTTAAAGTTGGTAATTCCAACTTTAATCTTGTCTTTTTCAACTTTAAAGTTGGCAATTCCAACTTTAAATTTGGTAATTCCAACTTAAATCTTGGCTTTTCCAACTTAAAAGTTGGTAATTCCAACTTTAATCTTGGCTTTTCTAACTTTAATCTTGGCTTTTCTAACTTTAAAGTTGGTAATTCCAACTTTAATCTTGGCTTTTCCAACTTTGAATTTGAGCTTTCCTAGACCCTTTCTTTAGCTTTTTTTCCTTTATTTTAAATTATTACCAACTTTATTAATGCAAAACTAATATACTGAAATAGATTGGTGAGCAATTAATCTGTGTCAATTATTTTTTAACTTGACCTTCCCTATGATCTTATATATAACTTCCAACTTTGAAAATCCTTATAATTTTTTGGGTCCATCTTATATAATTATACAGAGAATAATTTCATACAACTCCGTACATTACAGTATTTCAACCAAACCTATTTAAGAGATCAGATATATATTCTGTTATGTATGATAGAATAAGCTTAAACAAATATTTGGTGTTTAATATAGTGGATGAATTAACACTATATGACATACTTCAAATACAACTCATTCTGTATGTGAAAAACAATAAAATAATTCCTTATTTTATCATAATTTAATAATTAAATCGTTTCTTTCTATTGTAATTTCATGTAAAAAACAGCAAAATAAGTCCAGCTACAGGCGCGGATCTTAAAAATTTTCAAAGGGGGAGGGGTGAAGAGGAAATTAGAGTTGTTATACTGTATGTTCACATAGTTAAACGACAGCTTAATAGGAATACTCAGGCCCGTAGCAACGCTTTCAAAAGTGGGGGGGGGGGCAAACTTGCCAAAATATTTGACAAGCAAAAAAAAAAATTTAAAAAGGAAAGAAAAGAAAAGAAAGGAAACGAAAACTAATTAACTTCTTAAATCCTAGAATATGCCAGTTCTCGATCTAACAGCGGTAACATGAAGGGGGGGGGGGGGACTACCAGCATCTTAAGGAAAATTTACTATAGCAAAAAACTATACTCAGAAAAAGTGTCCTCACCCCCCGCGTTCTACGGGCCTGATACTATCAATTAATACAACACTTGTTAGAAAAAAAGAAACTGATTAGACATATGTAAAATTAAAATAAAAGTAAAATACTAAATTTCAAATTTAAATGTAAATCAGGCCACCTAGCTTTAGTGATTTGAAAAACTGCCCTTTAAAAGCCCAGTATTTTATCTAGATCGACCCGATTAAGAAAGAGTGTGTGAGAAAATTTTAAAATTTATGTTATTGTAAGTAAATATCTACCTCGCTACCACATCCTATTCTGTGATTATTTGAATTGAGTAGTTCTTCAAAGGGGAAAAAAAGCCAAAAATTAAAAAAAACAATACAAGAAACACTGCTTTTGCAAGCCGAAACATAAGTATGTCCCCTCGACCCCAGCGGTGTTATATTGAATTTGAAAACAGTAAATACTCTTCTAAAGTTGTGCAAAATTTCTAATTTTTAGAAATAAATGAACCATTTTAGTTCCACGGCAACTGCAGGTATTTTGGATATTCAAACTCGATAAACCTGGAGAGTGAGACACTTACAAATTAATACATGTACATGTATTATAATTCCAATCAGATGTCAATCTCCATATCGTTTCACGTAAATAATCGTTGAATTGATCATTCAAAATATCACGTTTATGATGTTGACTTAAAACCGGTAAAGCATCACTTCACCAAAAATATATGGTAAAACTAAACGAAAGCAAAACCGTTTTTGGAAAAATAAAGCAAAAATATTCGTGAATCTCCTCTCTCACTTTCTCCCCCCCCCCCCCTCTCTCTCTCTCTTAGCAAATCCAAAGGGGGGTTGCAACCCCCGTAACCCTCCCCATCCCCTCTAGATCCGCCACTGAGCTACAAAGTGCATGTATCTGAATGTAACGCATAAAGCCATACAAAGATAGAAAGGCCAAGATTGAAAAGCCAACCTTAAAGTTGGAAAAGCCAAGATTAAAGTTGGAAAAGCCAACTTTAAAGTTGGAAAAGTCAAGAATAAAGTTGGAAAAGCCAGTTTTAAACTTGGGAAAGTCAAGATTAAATTTGGATTACCAACTTAAAAGTTGGAATTGCCAACTTTAAAGTTGGAATTACTAACTTAAAAAAAATTGTGATACTAATACGCTTCCGTAGATAACATAAAAGAGTACCAATTAACCTATGTATGGTGAAAAATCAAAGGAGACAGAGTTAAAAATGAAAACATGGATTTGCTTTCTTCTACTCACATTGATCTTACGAATCAGTGTTATAAAGAGATGGTGGAATCACATGATTGATCTTTCCTTCCACGGGGCCTTCAGGTAATATGGATAAAGTCATCAAGAAAAGAAGGTGCTAGGTCAAAGGCTGAAAAAGAATTCTCAAAATTGAGAAATGAATTCCTTAAATGATGCTTTATAACTATAGCTTGGTAAAATAGGTGTATTAGGACATGTATGCACCCCTCGATCCAAAAAATAAAGTACTTAGCAAAAAGTATGAAAAACTTCAGTCAGCATTTGACTTAATCATAGACAGCTGCCTTTTCAATAAAAATGAAACTCGTAAATATACCTTGTCATTGGTCATTTACAAAATTAATGTGTTAAAAAGCGCTGTGATTGTACACACACAAGAACTCTGAGTTGATATTAAAAAGATGCTTGAGTTTCTGATTGACAATATCTATGCAGTTTTTGGAGATCAGGTCTTCCAACAATCTGGTGGAATTTCCATGGGTACCAATTGCCCCCCCTCCCCCTTATTAGCAGACCTCTTCTTATATTCATATGAAGCAGAATTTATTCAAAAACTTCTACACGAGAAGAAGAAAATACTTGCTGTGGCCTTCAACTCGACATATTGACGACATATATAATCAATTACCAATAGTTACTTTCATTCATATGTCGACTCGATATATCCCAGTGAGCTTGAAATAAAAAAAAAATACCACAGATTCTGACACATCTGTTTTATATTTAGATATTTTACTAGAAAAAGACGTTAATGGTAACCTAACAACAAAGCCTTATGATGAATGTGATGACTTCAACTTTTCAATCGTCAATTCCCTTACTTATGTAGCAATATACCCTTATCACCTGCATATGGGGTTTATATCTCTCAGTTGATTCGATACGCAAGAGCATGTTGCAAGTATGAACAATTTCTAAAACGAAGCAAGCTATTGACAAACAAGTTGATGAAACAAGGATATCAACAGTCTTGTTTGAAGTCATCATTTCGCAAGTGTTACGGTTGATACAATGACCTTGTCAGCACATACAACCTATAGTTGAGTCAAATGCTGACTGAGGTTTTTCATACTAATTGTAAGCCATTATTTATACACTGAACTGTCTACGGATTTTTCCAGTTTTTTTTCCTGATCCTGACAAAGAGCATACGGCGGGTGTGACCGGTCGGCAGGGGATGCTCACTCTTCCATGACACCTGATCCCACCTCTAAATTGTGAGGTCCGTTTTTGCTCTGCTCCAAATTTGTATCGTTTCATTGGACTTTCGAGATTGAATACTGTTCGTTATCTTCATATTTCATGTTGAATATCTACAATGTCCTTAATATCCTTTTTCAGTGATGTTCTGTTTAAACTCTATCAGCATATACTGATATCACATTGCTTTCTAAAAATTATTCATTGTTTTGTTCAGTTTATTTAGATTATGTTAGATCCCATGTGTTTATTCAATGAGTGCTGTTGAGAATAGTTCATATATATATATATATATATATATATATATATATATATATATATATATATATATATATATATATATATATATATATATATATATATATATATATATATATATATATATATATATATATATATATATATATATATATTTAAACCTCCTACATGGAAAATTTACATGTTAATACTAGTTTTGATACGAAAAAATGGTATGTATATTTGGTACAAATATTTGTATAAAAAATGCTTCATATGTATTATCATATTTTTAAAACTTTATGGCATTTAATTTTCTCTTTGAACTTTGACTCAGTATACATTTCTACAATGCACAAAGGGATATGTTTTTAAAGTTTTCAAAGTGTGTGCCAACTCTTTGTATTTTATGCAATGAAATATGTTGAAACCAATTTTTCATGCACTTTGAGGAAATATGATAAACATATTGTATTTTGAAACATTTACATACGATGCCTGTTTTGTAGAGTAACGTTATTAAATACATGTAACACGTGTAATTAAATAAGATTAAAGCACGTATTCATATTTTACAGTTAAGGTCAGACGACACCTTCCTCTATAATATATAATTTCCCCCAATAATTTGTCATTGCAGTATTCCTTCTTCACACGTTTCCTCGCAAAAAATTGAGGTACCTTACCAGAGATTTGTGAAAGGTATCGGAGGATGGTTTTTCCAATATAATCCTTTTAGAAGTAACTGCTTATATCACAATTTTTAGGTTTTTTAAAAAAAGATATTTTAAAAACAGTTTAGAAATAGCAAGATAACAATAATTATAAGTATTTTTGGTAAACTACAAAGAGACAAACGCAGATATTTCAGGACCTTAACAGACTCTACACAATCAAGAAACTAATACTATATTGTATCTCATGTTTTGTAGGATACAACGAACTCCAATTTTAAGTTTTGCTTTGCATTATGATTGTCAATGTACACCACACGTGTTCATTTGAAATCCTCCCTCCCATAAGTGATTTATTAATAGTAACAGAAATTGAATAACAGAATTTTAGATCGGTGTAATGTTACCATAGATCACTCTACAAATTCATTCAAAAACAGATGCTACTTTCCGGGTTGAGAGTCGTTTTTATCTGAAATTACAACATCTGTGCAAGTTTGGCTTGATATTACTTAGAAATGAACTTTTTTTTCAGAAAATTTAATCCAATTACTTTTTTGGAAAATACAGGTTACATGCGAAAAAATCATTGCTAATATGCATTCCATATGCAATATACTAGTATGTGCAAATTTGGAATGTTAAACTGTACATGCCACCTAACTTGCCTCATCCATACATCATTGAACAACAATAGAACTGTGTATACTTGAGAATGGATCGAAGTACTCTCAAAACTCCACTCATGGAGAAAACGTACAGCATCAGAAATCATATAGTAGTATGCCGTGTTGCCGTAAAGTAACTATTCTTCATCAACGTGATGTTACTTCTGTGACATGTGCTCAAAATCTCAATAAACAATGCAAATTGTAAGCAGAGCAGACATCAGAGTTGCGATCAGAAGGAAAATTAAGGCCTTTCTCTAGTAAACAACCCAAATGTGAAACAGATGTGTCAGACGCTTTGTGTTGTCTTTTATTTCGAGTTTAGAGGGATATATCGAATCAAATATTGAATGAAAATGAATTCTAGTATTGTTAGTTGATAAAACGTCGTCATTTGATCTAAACGTGGAAATGAAGGCCACAGCAAGAGACTTACTTCTTTTTTTCCTTTAAGAGTTTTTGATTATTTTCTGATTCATAAGAATACAAAAAAAAAAAACCCAGGTCTGCTAATAAAGGGATACAATCACTACTTAATATGGATCTTGCAACTTTTTTTTGCAGACCCGAAAGAAAACATCGATATTGTCAATAAGGAATTCAAGCCTTTCTTAAATATCAACCTCTGAGTATCAGAATGTTTAACAAAGTAGATGCATGACCAATGACAAGGTATGAAAATTTACGAGTTACATTTTCCCTCTTTTTTTCTCTCTTTTTTTTAGAAGCAGTTGTTCAATATGGAAAAAGGTTTGATCTTTAATTTATCGTCTGGGATAGAGCTATAAAGTGTTGAAAAGTCATACGTTTTGATGCTGCTATTCATTTCGGCAAAAATTATGTTATTTAATGTTTTAAAAAGATTCTTTGGATATTTTTTTCAGTGTCCAGATATGATCAACACCACTTCACGCTTCGCCAATTCCGTTGCAACGCAGTAATTCTGAAGTTTCTCCTTCACTGCTGATAAAATTAGTTAAAGAAAGAGGCTTAAAAAACATTTCCTATATCCCATTACGTATCTTTGTTTGTAAGGATTTTTATGAAGTTATGGAATACAGTCTATGTATCTTTATTCAAATTCACTTCGGTTGTTTGAAATACCGAAAAGTATGATTCTAAAGAATCTCTTCCTTAGAAAGGGAAATATTTTTGTCCTTTTAATAATATCCAGTTACTATCTGCTTTTGTGTATGTGTTTTTTCTTTTATGCAGGGAGATAGGCTGCATGGAAAAAGGCCGTGTTCCATATGTTCTTATTGAGGAATATGCTATAGTTTCGTGCCAGTAAATAACAGATTGAATGTTGATTTTCCAGCCCTTTTATAATCCATGAAATGTGGACAATTTTGGAGAGACTAAAACTTGAGGAAAAGTAGAAATGCAGATGTATATTATACATATGGAGTTATATATGAAACAAGAAATTACATATGATAGAAATTACATGATAGAAATTACTAACGATACACAGGCATGACATATAATCACGATTTTCGGTAAATTGTTCTCTACACGAGTTTTAAATGTATATACGGGGCTGTCGCAGATTTGTCACCGGAAATCTTGAACACTTTGCATGTGGATCAAGCCTCTTTCAAACTGATATTTATCTGCTATGAGCTAATTGACCTCGGTCATAAAGTCTCAACTTCTCAACCGAAAAGGGTTTGTAACGCTACTTCCTGACCTGACATGCTGACTTTTTCTACTGATCATGCTTTTGATTAACATTTCGTTATTCCATTGTAAGCAATTCAATCTTGGTGATCTGCATGCTTCAAATATTACACCGACGATCTACAGAAGAACTGACAGATCTCCTAGAAGACAACTGACGTCTCATGACGTTTATTTGACAAGTCTACAACAAAGTCATTCAAGAAATCTGAGGATCATAAAATTAAGAGAGAGAGAAGAAAAAGAAAAAATATAAAAATCATGCAATCACATGAAAAAAAAACATAAACAAAACCCAGACAGTCACATCCTCACACACACACTCACACACACACACACACCCTCACACACACACACACACACCCTCACACACATACACACACACACACAATGTAGACTTGACGAAAGAGAAATCCCTCCTGAACAGCCTTGACCTTAAAGGTCCAGATCTGATCGTGGGTCAATGTCATGACATAGCATTTGGTTTTTCCTCAAATACTTCCATTTGAATAATTCCAATCAAGAGTTCCATTGGCAAGGTGATTACACGACTTCAACGCTTCAGCTCATGAAACATCTTCCGGTCATGGACAACAACACAATTAAGTTTATATCCATTCCAATCAAGAGTTGGGACGCTTTTTTGTTGGACAAATATTCAGGCCGGTAAAAAGGCATATAGTCATACCAAAATGGGGATATGGTGTTTGACTGTGAATGTATGCAGATGTTACATATGGTGGAGTATCATATATTATATTTTGTTTAATAAATATGTGAATAAAGTTGTAAATTTATAAATTGCGTGATTATTACCAGTGTCCTCAAGACGGGGAGGACCCCCGTCACAGTTGAAAAAAGATTATCATAATAAGCAGCGAGGTTATACATAATAATTAATTTCAATGTTATAAAGTTAAAAAAAAAATTCAAAACACTTTTCACAGCATGATCAAACCTTCTTAGATCCACCACCCAGTGTAATGCTTTTCCAGGGTCCCATTTTTCCAAAACGGGCCCACTTGAAAACTTCAGGAGGAATATCCTGAAATGCTTGAATGGCTAGAGAAAAAAAAATAGTGCCGTGATGTCATCGTAAACAGTCGGCCGCTAGATAATCAATGCACTGTGCATGTAATGTTTCATGTTTGTATTTTAATATCTGTCCAGAAGAAGGAAGTCCATCGGAGAATATCACAGTTAGGTAAGAATGTGTTCTTTGTGAAAAATTAATGACAGTCACTTAGTTAAGCTGTGTTAAAGTGTAAACAATTTAAAAACAACATAGTATACTTTTTTTTAAATTTAAATATATGTAGGTCACAAACACACAGGTCGATACACGATGTGTTATCTAAAAAGTTGTAACGTGTGATCAAGTGCAACGTAAAGTTGACTTGTTCCTGCTTGATTTTTAAAAAAAAAAAGAAGATGACAAATTATACAATGCCTTCCTAAACATCTTATAATGCATAATAAATTATTCTTTAGTGACAAAAGACCCAGTATTTGGTGTAAACCATTTTAAATATGAAGTACGAGTATGGGATATATGATATATACCAAATGGTTTGTACAAATTCAGATAATGATCAAATCATGGCGGTTATACATGCGTCCCTCGTTACCAACAAAGGACCATTCAGCAGTGCGTTCTAACATTATAAATTCATATCCGCAGTATCCCGACAGTATAGAATGTGTACTTGCAAGTGTTACACATGGTTGTAACAAAAGAAAAAAATTTAATTGCTTTATTTTGATCTGGGTGTTACTTTATGCATATCGACCTACCGTTACGGTTACCTAACAATTTTTCCTCGCATACAACGATTTTTAACTTGTTTAAATTTAGAGTGCCAATGGGAAAAATAGATTGTTTTGTTATTTTTGTTTTTCAAATTTATGTTAAAAGAAGAAATTATAATGCGCTTAAAATCACTTTGAAATGAAAAAAAAAATTGCATAATTGGGAAAAAAAAGAAAATCTAATCATGACTGGCAAATAGATCGATAGTTGAATTCTTAAGCTGAGACAAACTAAACTCGTTCAAACTGGTATTACAAAATCAAAATAAAACGCCAACAAGACCTGGTTTGAAGAGTACAAAATATTAAAATTACTCAAGGTAATGCATGGTAAATTTTAGAGAAAAAGGGTTGAAGAATACAAAAATGAAGAAAAATTATATACAAGCATCTCTCTCGTTTATCCCTATGTGTGTGTTTTCACTCATTGGACCTTCTCAGAGGGCTACAATGATTTTGACATAATATTCCAGCCATCAAAACAAACTCAAAACAGTTTATCATTGCATTTTTGCCAGGTAATGTAACCTGGCATGACAGTGGGGATATTTAAACAATAAAATACTTCCTTTGTTTATATAGGGGTGAACAGTTACAACATTGCAGAAGAAATGTTATTTTTCTTGAATGATTGCAACCTTACATCCTTGTGTAAACAAAGAAAGCAAACGCTTAATTCCTGATACTTATATTGATATAAGTTATTCATATAAAGTCTTTCCCTTGGATGGTGGTTGATAATCATTAGAACAATTCTATTTAATTGAACAGTCAGGTAATCACTGCCCCGCAGGACCTGACATGCATTGTTACTTGATTCTTTTTACACATAGGGTCATCATGACCTTTCCTTGGTGCCAGCTTTACAATAGACAACAGCTGTATAATTTTCATTACATTTATTAAAGACTTGAACAAAAACATATACAATCTTGCATTACTCATAACTGTGATGAACATCAGGGAATTGGCATTAAATGTCCGCATTGCATAAATGTACAATCAAATAATAGGGTCCAGGAGGGATAGCTGGCATACCGACTAATAAGTACCGGGCAAAACCAGTGGCCCTGTGTTGGTCACAGATGCCCGAGATCCCAAATTTAGGTACTAGACATTAGGGACCGAGAGATTTGCGAGCACATCTGTATACCCTGCTTCCGGTGATTGCTTTGGTCAGCAGTGCTTTTTACACCCAAGTACTGCAGTACTAAGCCTCCCCTCCTGTTACAAGAGGTGGAGGGGGCCCCAGGCCTGCGGATTTGGCTACGACCCCAATCGAAAACTTTTTACTTGTCTTTTTACTTGACTTTTATTACACATTGCCATAGGTTGGATACTTTGTAGACAACCTGTCTACCCAACAATGTGCCCACCAACTTGTCTGATGGCTGGGCAGGGAAACAACGAACCAGATGTGTTCACAACCCTCCCACTCATCCCTCCGGACCCTCCCCCCTTAAATACAATGCGACAAGGGTTTTGAAAAGGTCTTATAATATTGTGGCTAGTAGAAATAGACTGTAAGATAGACATGTTAACCACTGTCACTATAAGTTAGTTTTAATCAGAAGTCTCGAATCACTGTTCCGGACTGGTTTTTGTGCACAATATTGGATTGGCTGTCCTTTCTCCGCATCAATCCCTATGAGCTGGATTTCCTGTTTGTACCTGTTTGTTGTTGAATATCTGAAAAAGCAAAAGATCTGACAGCTGATTACTGAAATTTGGTGGTATTTTCATTAGCCAATGATTGCATTGGCTAATGACGGATAACTCTTTCATATTGATGATAGGTTTGGGATATTTTGGTAGAATTTTCTTAAAGTTTTATGGAATATATGAGATGGCATAAAGGAATGTACGAATCAAATAGTATGAAATTACATCTATAAAAAGGGGGTGGGTGGGTGGGTAATAATTTTGATGTGGATCTCCTGCCTCGCCCTGTTGCTGGATGGCGGGAAAAGGAAGTGCTACCTAATTAATCAACTCGTACCAATATGAGTCTTTTTCCTTTTGGATTATAACCAATTCGTTCCACTATTAGTTTTAACGATATTGTAATGTGCTTCCGTCAATTAAATGAGATTAATTTGGTATAAGGGCAAATTAATCTGCCATAAATTAGTCCTCAGTTCTTTTTTTGTCAGCAGTAGTAATCAATACCTTGTTCATTCCAAATACTAGTACATTGTATGCATGTAACTAAAAATGCACACGAATCTTAAAAATGCTGTGCATACGATCAAACTGCGATTTCTTAGTAGTTTCAATAAATTATGTACATGAAAATTTTATGGTATATATAATCTTATTTTCTGGGCCAGAGAACAATTTTGACAAGTTCTGAAATAAACCTTGCCAGATCTAGATAAAGGGAAACCTGATGGTGAACAACTTTTTAATCTCATAAAATGGTATAGCCAAAGTTTCTTTTGAATCTTTTGATGATATCAAATTGGAACCTTGCATGTTATTTATCGTAAATAGTGTGAATTAAGTAGAGCATTTTCTTTCATTCACTAATAAATGAAAACACATTGTAAATTTGTAAGCTTCGGGATGTGGATGGCGGGGGAGGGGAGAGGGAGTAAGGGTAAAAAATGAATTCAAAGTGAATACTCTATCTAACAAGTAGAATGGGTAGAATTTGTAGATTTCTTATGACCTATTCGTTTTATTCAAAACACATTAGACGTAAATCTCTCTCTATCTCTCTCTCTCTCTCTCTCTCTCTCTCTCTCTCTCTCTCTCTCTCTGCACAAATGAGGGGAGGGGAATTTCAACTCCACTGGTCAACTGAATTGACAAATTATTTTATTTACACATTGCTTTCTGTGCATGTAATGCACAGAGATAAGTGAGGACAGAGAAACCAACGGAAATATTCCTTATTGTTTTCTCGTGTCCTCAAAATTATATACCCAATCGAAAACTAGGATGTTATTCAGATGACTGTAGATGACATAAGGCTTTTGATTAAGATTACAAAACGTACTGTTCAGATAAAGTTTAATTAACGTGGTTTTACCACCCAGGAGAGAGGAAGAAAAAAGAAAAACGACTCTATGAGAAAGATGCTAATACATTAAGGAAGAGAAAAGATGTTCTCTGAGAACGTTGGAACTAGTATGACCCAGATCGACCCCTGGGACAAGTTCCGGCACACCCTGATTGAAGTGATAGACTCCGATAATGTAACCCGGCGTGAACTTTTTCAACTGTCACAATCTAAGACTGGAAAAGTTACGGTAAGGAAAATTAAAGAATATCATTTCCAAAGTTTGAGTAGAATTTTGTTCGTTAACAATGTTACAAAATTTCATTTGAAACCTGTATTGAAAAAATATCATGGTGAAGATAGGTAAATTCATTATACACGATATATTTAAATTGTTCTTCTTTAATTCTGTCATACAACTTTTAAAAATTTATACTTGAGATACAAAATCAGAATCGAGAAATCTATACTTTCAAAATCATTGATTTTGAAAAGAATTTAAATATTTTTTCGATATTGTACAGGACGGTAAAAGCTATTTCAAGGCTTTATATGAGCATTTCGAATATAAAAGGGATGCTGTTGTCGAGTTTTTGATCCACTTAACCACAAAAACAAAACTTCATTTGGATGAAGGCACAATCTCTGTACCCTCAATACTGAAAGAGTACACAGAGCAACTCAGATACACAGAGAAGGAGGAGAGATTGAAGAGAGAGAATAACTGGAGTAAATGTGACCTCATTGGGAGAGAAGAGGAGATACAGAGAGCCATGGATTCTCTCCAAAACCAGCGTATGAAAGGTGAACTGTATGCCATTTTGTTTTGGAATTTTTTTTTCATTTATTATACTTGTTGTATTTAGATTTTGTCATTTCTAACTTCAGTATTGTTGATGTGTGGATTTGTTATTTCTAACTTCATCATTGTCTGTCGTAGCTATAGGTTTCTGAATCTGTAGGTTCTAACTTCATCATTGTCTGTCGTAGCTATAGGTTTCTGCATCTGTAGGTTCTAAGTTCAGTATTGTAGGTGCGTGGATTTGCAATTTCTAACTTCATTATTGTCTTTATCGTCTCGATCCACGGTCCGGAGTCCGCATGGGAGAGGATCATACATTTTGGCCGTGGTTTGCGACGATGTATTGTCGTAGCTATAGGTTTCTGAATCTGTAATTTCTAACTTCAATATTGTTGTAGGTGTGTGGATTTGCGGATTGGGTGGAATGGGGAAAACCAGTGTTGCTGATGAAGTTTGTGGGAGGCTATTGAGAGAAACATCAAATTGGAGGATCCTTAAAGTTGAATTAAGGTACTAGTTGCCACAAATAATTACGAACTGTTCGCTAGTTTATTGTAATATATGAGGATGTCATTCTGTGTAAATGTTTTCGAACTTTTCTTTCAAGTTGTGATTTAATGTACTTATTTGTTTTACGTTGTGTTTACATCCACAACTATAGTTATACAGAAAAGAGAAAGTGTCATTTTAGTATCATTGCAATGAAACATTTCAATTGTTAGTTTTTAGCCCTCTTGATGTCAAATTAATTCTTTAGGTACATGTATATCGTGTGAAGTAATTCAGTGCATCCTCATATTTTTCTGAGCCAACGACTATCTGACCATTTCGTTTTCTGTCCCTGCCAAACTATGAAAAAAGATGGGCGAACAAGGCGAGCGCAGTGCCTATAGTGCGACAAACATGAAGTCGAAAAATCAAATCTCAATTATAACAGCATTTTCTTCGATATATCACAGTGAAAAATTCACTGTTCAAGAAAGAACTTTATTTTGGACTTTACTTTTCAATTTTTAAGTTGTGTCATATTTTATTTCTCACGATATGTTTCACGAAACTAATTGTTTAATTGACCAGTGACACTTTTCGGACTCTTGATCTGTTGTTACAAAGAGACAGAGTGCTATGTCTCAAGAACTTTTAATCTCTAAAAACAATACTGTGTAATTATCTGGGGTTTTTTAATGTCCAAACATCAAAGCGTCATTGAGTTTATTTAATTTATCCATACCTGTGAATCTTTCACTCTTTTTACTAAATGTCAACACCTGTCATTTATTTACTCATTATGTACATTCTTATAAATAGTCATGTATAATTTCAATCATTAGTCTGGAATATACGAAGGCCAGTCTCGGCCACGTCCGACTCGTCAGGACTCTGAGTCCGGGGCCACTTCGGCCAAATCCGACTCGATCATTTATAATATGTCTGTTTGTTGATTCATGTAAACTGTTGCCATCGTTGAGTCTCGTCTAATAAATACGGAATCCTTCATCATTTGTTTTATCTCTGGAATTGCATATTGGTGGACCTTCGGGAATACGGCACACCTATACTTCGTTTTTACCTTACGGCCACACAGCGCCGCTACCTATACCTTGTACCCTCTACGCCAACATTCCCTCACCCCGTTCGTTCTGCAGACAACGGATGCAGTTCCAGACGAATTCCTAAGTACCGTCGAAATCTACACGGTCACAGATATATCATCTAACATTATAGATACTTCATGTAAAATCTCCACAATTTGCAAAAATTCACAAAGATTGAAATAGCATACACGCACTAAAGGATCATTTTCTCATACCATAACACAATTTTCCAGTATGAGTGGGTCTTTTTTTTTAAGTTTATCCTTAAAGTTTATGTAAAAACGTACATTTTTTGATTAACAAAAACATGGAGCAAAGACCCACTATACCTAAAAAATACACTTTTATGACACAACATTCGTATCTTTTCAAGAAATACTTGAAGTCCATTTGGTCAAGGTGCATATCACAAACATGATTTAAATGTCACTATTTATCAACAGTGGCTGTAGCGTAGTGGTTAGCACCAAAAGAGAAAGAAAAAAAGCGCGTTGGTCTTAAAGGAAAATGATACTCAGCTTTTTAGCTCACCTGAGCTGAAAGCTCAAATGAGCTTTTCTAATCACCCGCTGTCCGTCGTCCGTCCGTCTGTCTGTCTGTCCGTCCGTCTGTAAACTTTTCACATTTTCAACTTCTTCTCAAGAACCACTGGGCCTATTTTTACCAAACTTGATACAAAGTATCCTTGGGTAAAGGGGAGTTTAAATTGTTAAAATAAAGGGCCAAGTCCTCTTACAAGGGGAGATAATCAAGAAAAGACAAAAATAGGGTGGGGTCATTAAAAAATCTTCTTCTTCACTGGGCCAAAAAAGCTGAAATTTATGAGGAAGCATTCTGGGATAGTGTAGATTCTAAATTGTTCAAATCATGATCCCCGGGGGTACGCCGGGGCCACAATAGGGAATCAAATTTTACATTGAAATATATAGGAAAAATCTTTAAAAACCTTCTTCTCAAGAACCACAGGACCTGAAAAGCTGAAACTTATGTGGAAGCATCCTGGGGTAGTAAAGATTCTAAATTGTTCAAATCATGACCCCCGGGGGTAGGGCGGAGCCACAATAGGGGATCCAAGTTTTACATTGAAATATATAGGAAAAATCTTCTTCTCAAGAACCACTGGGCCAGAAAAGCTGAAACTTATGTGGAAGCATTCTCAAGTAGTGTAGATTCTAAATTGTTCAAATCATGACCCCCGGCGTAGGGTTGGGCCACAATAGGTATTACAAGGGGGAAATCTGATAAAGAACAGCATGGCCAAAGTTACTCAGGTGAGCGATATGGCCCATGGGCCTCTTGTTTATTGGTAGGGTTCGAACCCGGCGAGTACCACATTATTTTTTATTAACAGAAAAGTTTTTGCAGAGAAAATATTCCTCAGAAAAGTTTTTTTTAATCATAATTTCATAAATGTCAATAATGAGAAACTTCACTCTAAATGCCGAATTCACAAATTGAGTATGATTTTTATATATCTAAAGCTATAGGCATTCTGTACGCCTTGTTTACCCATCTCCTTAAATTAGCCTATGTCTGAAAGGGCTAAGTAAAAATTTAAAGTAAACTAAAGACATTTTTCGTAAATTTTATTTACAAGGGAACAGAAACACATGCGGGATCTCGTTAGAAGTACACTCATTCTGATTGGTGAATTGTTGATGACGTCGTTTAGAGAGGAATTATCAGATGGGGACTTGGAGTACACCAGCAAATCAAATGAGGAGGACTATTTTGAAGATCTTAATCAAAATTCATGGAGGCAACTTTTGATTCAAAAATGTTGTGAAAGCTCAGGTAAAATGAAGCCTAAAATACTAGTAAAACTAATAATTTATCAGTTTTTCTACTTTTTACTCTATTTCAACTTTGCTTGGATTTGCTATTGATAGTTCCCTATCAATATATTTTGCAAATGGAACAATTAAATTAATCTTGGACAATCAAAGTAATTCTTGCTACATATAAATATAACATTCAAAGAACAAACAGAAGGGAACATCTAGTTATGTGTACTTCGGTATATATATGACATCGTGAATAAAAAGAAATAGCATATCCAAGTGAATAAGAAATTGAAGCTATATTTTACAGATCAGAATAAACTGTTTGTTTTCGACAATATGGATGACATTTTAGTGAGTCATGAGGGAGACTTGATGAACTTTCTAAATAAATTGGTAAATATGCTTATTGAAGCTGAGGAGGATGAAATGCATCAAGGGAAGGTAATACATCATATAATTTGTGATTCATTTATGATATCGATATTTCTATTAAATTATTTAAACAAGATTTTTTTTTCATTAAATTTTTTACAGAGGAAAAAAAAAACCCAAAATATTAATTTCTATTATTTTTCATACATTTTTGTCTAGGATGAAATAATTTTTATTTGTTCTCAAGGATTTTAATTTGTTTTAACTATTAGACAAGGTTTATAATAACTTCTCGTGCAAGTCTCCCGTCCACATTGACAGCTCGTGATCTTCGAGACGTCTTCGACGAAGTTATACTTAAAGAGCTTTCGGATCAGCAAGCGATGTTACTTTTCAAGCAGGAATTGACCCAACAAAATATACCATGTGTCAGTACAACTTATATTTTTCGAATAAAATCTAAATTATTTATTTAAAAAGCTGGATTTAGTGTACTTTAGATTTATTTTGAACATATCATACGGTGTTGATCGTAATTTCTATTATTTTTCTAAATGTAGAATGAGAAGGATATAAAGAGGATTGTATGCATCTGTTCACACTGTCCATTGGCCATGCTTTCTCTTAGCAGAGTGTTAAGTGACATATCTCCAAGTACACTTATAGAAACCTTTTTGCTGTACACCAACTCGGCGATTCAGAATAATATCATGGGAGTAGAAAGTTGTCTACAGCAATCTTTTTCTGTGCTAGACAAATCGAACAGGCAAAATAAAATAACGTGTACTCTAATGCAACTGTCTGTTTTTCGAACATTAAAATTTGATATCGAGGCTGCAAATTTTGTTTGTGGAAGAAAAAGTGCAGGACAGGCAAACTTGAAATGCGAGATCGACTATCTGAAGCGATATCATTTCCTAGAATCCATCGAAAATTTATTTCAGCCTGAACCAGTTGGCACAGACATAAAACAAAAGGCATCTTCATCAAAATGTTACTATATTCATCCATTAGTTTATCAATTCCTGAAATCAAAGGCGATACAATATCAAAACCTTGTTAATAAAGCAAGGAAAAGATATGTCGAATATGTACATAAGACTATCTCAAAAACCGCAAAAATGACTTCTGCTGAATCGCTGAAGACTATTGCCAAATACGAACCTCATTTTGAAACTTTCTATGAATATGTAATGCATTTGCATACAAACCCTAGACCTACGTTTACCGATCTCCCCAGTGCATTAAGTGTTATAAATACTGAATGGTTAACGGATCTGATTTTGGACACTACTCGGCGATGTCAGTATTACAAAAGTATGATTTCTGAAGCTAAAAAATATGATCAGGTATTGGACCTTATTTATTATAAAACTTGTCTGGGAAAACTTTATTTTGATAATGATAGACTGGAGAGGTGCTACATCATTTTGACCGAAATTGATTCTATAATAAATAAACATAAACAACTATCAAAAGTAGTTAAGTATGCGAAACAAGAACAAAAGACCAAAGACTACCCCTCTGCATTGATTCTAGGTGGATTCTGGACAATTAAGGCTCGATATCTAAGCATGCTTGGAAATTATGGTGAGGCCAGACAGTGCCTCAAGTGGGCATTATATACAATAAAGAAAAAGGAAAGGGATTGTTGGTCACAAATTGCAAATATTTACAATTTAATGGGAGTAATTGCATTTAATTCCAAGGAATATAAAACTTCAAGAGATTGCCACTTTCAAGCTTTCGAATTAGTGGGAAAAGAACATGATGATTTCACCGATAAAGACATTTTCCTGACTAACATAGGAAGTGCATTCTTCAAGGAGTGGGATCAAGATCGACTAAACGAGGATGCTTTACGAAAAGCAGAGAATTACTACACCAGGGCTCTCTCTTTAGATACAGCAAGAGCGGAAAAAAGAGCAAAAATTCTTAAAATGAGAGGCAAACTTTACCTTTTACAGGAAAAATTCGAGGCCTCGGAAAAAGATTTACAAGAAAGTTTGGATATATGGAAACAATATGTACACCCACCCCACATAAATCTGATATCATCCTACCATGGAATAAGTTTTCTGTTCGTTTCGAAGGCAGCACACTTGTTAAAATTCGGAGATCTTTGTACGTATTTTTTATATTAAGTTTGTCGTTCTCTATTTCTCTACACACAGATTTATATATACCCAATACCTTCAGTCACTATTTATTTATTTATTTTATTTTTTTTAATTTTTTGCTGTAACCAGCGGAAAAGGCTGCAGCTTTCCTTGCAAGAGCTTATGCCAACTACACAGAGATTAAAAAACAGATAGAACAAGGAGGATTTACCAACTGGCAGAAGAACAGAGTCCTTTACGATGAAATAAAGAAGAACCATGAGAGAGTTTTAAAACAACTGAATAAGGATGAGAGGGAAGTCGAACAAGTTAATAGGTTCTATCGGGTAAGATCATATATCATTACTTGAATACACATAACTTTGATGTTTTTTATTGATAATAACAAATGATAGTTCTTATTAATGCATACAGGATTTTGAAGCTGGAAAATTTAACGAGAAAATACCCTGTAATCAGAGTTTGGACCTAGACGATGAATTTTCTCAGATGCGATCAATGTCTACTAATCAGAACATGGAATCGGAAAATGACGATTCTGATTCGCCATCATCTGACTCTGAAACTTCCTCTTCCAATATAACATCCGACGAAGAAATCTCTAATACCCAAAGGTATAAAAACAAAATACTGAGTTTTGATGAAAACACAGACTGTATAGGTGTTGCAACTCCTGACGAGACAAAAAGCGTAATAGGAACACGAAAGCCAGAAAGCAGTCTTCACAGCGGTTCTATAGACAGTGGCATGGGAGATTCCATCACGAGTTGCTCCTCTATGTCAGATTCTAATTCGAAACCGAGGCTCTTGTCTATACCTTCGGGTTCAATGGAAGAAGAGGTATTTTCTTCTTGTGAAAAAAGTGCATTGAACCATAAAAACTTTCCTTGGAAGAGGAAATTTTCTGACAGACAAAATACATGTACATTAAAAAGACAAAAAGGTTTTGACGAAGATTTTCAATGCATGGGTCCCAATAATGCATATTAGATTGTACTCGTTACAAACCTTCTGAGTGGAATTTATCCTAAACTATCAAACAATGAGGTTGTTTGGTTTATTATAAAGTTAATTCTTTTTTTTATCTTGTATGTGTCGATTGCAAATTATGGAATAAATGGATAAATGCTGCGTGACCTATTTTCAAATGCTACATACCTGATCTACGTCTGTGATACAAAAAAGAATAAAAGGAATATATATATATATATATATATATATATATATATATATATATATATATATATATATATATATATATATATATACTCGATCGAAGCTATGGTCATCGGTTAGAAAACCTGTAATCGGTTAGTCGAAAAGAAATAAAATACATTTATGTGTAAATTTGAATGCAATTTTTCAAAAATTCATTTCTAATTAAAATAAACCTCTGCATAAAAGTTGATAATTTAGCGCTTTCACAGATTTGGAGGTAATTATGGTTTTACGGTTTAAGATCGCGGAGTAATTGGTCAGTTTGTGAAGTTAATTACTGTTTTTAAAAACACCGTGTCATTACCCTAACTGTCCTGTAATTCTTTAATGATATTAAAACACCGTATAGCACTATGAATTGGTATGTGTGTCGTTTGCCGTTATCTATAAAATTATATCATAAGACATACATTGTAAATTCAGTGAAAGTTCAGACATAGTTTGGATTATTGTGACAATGCAAAATGAACCTGTGTGACATATGCTATGAAAGATTATCAAAGAATGATTTCTCATGCATGTTTCACAGCTTTCTTAACTTTTTCTTCTTTATTGAAATAGAAATAAAATATATTTACATGTAGTCTCCTGATCAAAATAAACTGAATGTTTCTAACTTCTTTTTTAATCTTCTTGTGTGTATGAATGGAACTAGTTGAAAAAAAATATATCCAAAAAAAAAAAAAAAAAAAAAAAAAAAAAAAAAAAAAAATATATATATATATATATATATATATATATATATATATATATATATATATATATATATATATATATATATATATATATATATATATATATATATATATATATATATATATATATATATAAAATTTTTAATCCTATTTATATAAAATATTTCATGAAATTTGAAGATAACGAACAGTGACCATGCTCAGAGGTGTATTATAAATTATTTTGTAAACAAAGTTGTTCTTCGACTGTCTGTCTGTCTGTTAACTTTTCACATTTTTATATTCTTATCCAGGACCTCAGGACACAAAGATTGAATTAATCCAGTCTTTAATTACATTTGAAGGCATTAATAGATACACTGCCTCGCGTGAATAAAATTTTCTATTTTGTATTAATTTATACTGAAAATTTCAACGCTCTAATATTACCAGACAATTATTATTATCATGATATTTTTTGAAGTTTTGAATTGATAAATAGCGTGTCAAAAACATATAAAGTGGTTGTTTAATCAGACTACATATTCAGGAAAACAAATATTTATGGTCACTGAAAGAAAGTCTTATCTTAATTTTGTTTTTAGCTCACCTGAGCCGAAGGCTCAAGTGAGCTTTTCTGATCAAAGAGTGTCCGGCCCCAAGGGGTGGGGTAGGACCACAACAGTGGATCAAAGTTTTACTTGGTTATAGGTGTAATGGTTAAGGGGCATTTGAGTAAAACGCATGGAAGACCTCAAATAATGGAATGACCTGACAACCCTTGGAATGGACTAGTCAATCCAAAGGTGCTTTTACACAGAAAATATCTTTAAAACTTCTTCTCAAGAACAATTAAACCATTATTTGTCATATTTATACAGAAGCAACCTTAGGTATTGTAAAATCAAGTTTGTTCAAATCATGGGGGCACAACAGGGGGGTCAATGTTTTGCATAAGAAAATATAGGAATCATCTTGAAAAAATCTTCTGCTCAAGAACAGCAAAGCCATGATTAGTCATATCATTTTAGAAGCATCCTCAGGTAAGGTAGAAATTTAGGGTGGGTAGGGCGGGGCCACAATGAGAGATCAGAGTTTTACGTAGGAAAACATAGGATTGATTGATTGTATGTTGTTTTACGTCCCGTTCGAGAATTTGTTCACTTATGTAGAGACCACCATTTTCCGATGAAGGGCTTCAAATTTAGACTTTTACTCGTGTCACGGCAGGTGTTGGCACGATAAAGATCCCTCACTGCTCGATCTTTATCGTGCCAACACCTGCCGTGACACGGGACCTCGGTTTTTAAGGTCTCATCCGAAGGACCCGCAACATTCACTTCAAAGTGCCGAGCGCTTGGCGAAGGTACAGTTGTTAGCTATTTTTTATCGACTTAGGTCAGTCGCGGCCGGGGCTCGAACCAACAACCTTCCGATCACGGAGTGAGCGCTCTGCAGTATGAGCTACCGTGACGGTGGAAAACAAGAAAAAATCTTTAAAATTCTTCTATTTACGTACAGCAAAGCCATGATTAGTAATATTGATATGAAAGCATCCTGAGGTAGAGTAAATTAAAGTTTGCTCCCCCCTCCGTTCAGTACTGAACTGATTTCTGCTTCTTCATAGCCAATGAGCTCAGGTGAGCGATGTAGTCCATTGGCCTCTTGTTTTAAAGTGATCCGGTTTCATGCATGTTGTATCATGTTATAATGATACACGTTGTTGAAAACGAGTGCTATACTTACTGCGAGTGATAGTTTCCTGTCGGAATATATGTTCTCTACACGACAGATAAATTAAAGGGGATAATAAAGTATACCTAGCTCAGTGCTGACATGGTTTTTTGTAATGGTTTCAGATTCATTGTGCATTCAATTAGGCCTACATAGAAAGTGTCCATTTCTTACTTGGGCAATATCCTTCCACACACTCTGATTTATTAGTCTATGTACTCACCACATTGCTTCTAGCATTAAGACCTGGAAGACTATAAGGTACGAGACTTATGTTATCTTTTACCGAAGTAGAATATTAGTGATCTTTTTCCCTGCAACAAAGAAGCGCACAACAATAAAACAAGTGGTGTTGATTTTTCCCCATCATGTTTGTTATACAATTTGTAGTGCTTCGGTTTTTTAAAAAATACTATTCACCACTAAATTTAAATGTCTTCAACACTTAAAAACTATTGTTGTTGAAGAGGTTTCATTTAACATGAATTTATGGATTTTTTAAAAAGTGTATCTCCTTTCTTCTGAATACGTGATATAATTAAACTTTTTAAATAGTTGTACTTGGCGATGGCTGGCTTTCGAAATAAACAGGAAAAATTTACTTCAGTTACTGAAGGACTTCATTTAAAAGGACTATTGATTGCGAATTTTGTGACGTGTTTTACATGTATTAGAGTTATTCGTTGACCCGGTATCAAAGTTTTTTTTTTACAAATAGATTGTAACTCTTGACAATTAAATTGCAAAGATTGGATATGTGGTTTGATCTCATCACCTTTTTTTAGGTTCGTCAAACTGATACCTGAGAGAAAATTTTCAAGACTGAAGTCATGCAGAGTCAAAGACGAGGTTGGAACCGGCCACTGGAGTCCTGGGATGGAATCAGAAATGGGCTCGTCGAGGTCATCAATACAGACAAAGACATAGAACGAGAATTCTTTAATTTATCCCATACTAAACTCGGACAGGAAGTCAAGGTCAGATATGATTTAATAATATTATAATAACGTAAGGAATAAATAGGACTAAAACTATAGATACTGAATATAATATATGAAAGAAATATACATAAATCTTTATACATAAATCTATATACAAATACATAATATTTTGGAATATGATAGATGGTGTTCAGTAGATGTGCAATAAGGTTTTGGAATTTTTTATTTTACCGTGCAAAACGGGGGTAAAAAGAAGACATTTTTCCTACAAAAAAAGCTGGTTCCCAGAACTCCTTATACATTTTACGCAGTAGACAAATCTTTTGGAATGAAATATATGGAAATAACGGACAGTATTCGAGCTCAAAAGTCCATTAAACAACACAAAATAGGAGCAGAGCAAACACGGACCTCCAAAACATCAGAGGTGGGATCAGGTGCCATGGAGGAGTGAGCATCCCCTGCCGACCGGTCACACCCGCCTTGTGCTCCCTGTCATGATCGGGAAATAACGGAAAAATCCGTCGACAATTCAGCGTGTAAATAATAGCCTAACAATTAGTATAAAAAACGTCAGTCAGCATTTGACACAATGATAAATTGTATTTGCTGACAAGGTCATTATATCGACCACAGAACTTACGAAATGATGACTTTAAACGAGACTGCTGATATTCTTGTTTCATCAACTTGTTTGTCAATAATTTACCTCGTTTCAGAAATCGTATATACTTAGAGCATGCTCTTGCGTATCGAATTAACTGAGAGATATAAACCCCGTATGCAGGTGATGAAGGTATATTGCTGCATAAGTAAGGGAAGTTGATGATTGAAAAGTTAAAGTTATCACGTTTATCATAAAGCTTGGTTGTTAGATTACCATTAACGTCTTTTTCAAGTAAAATATCCAAATATGAAACAGATGTGTCAGACTCAGTGGTATGTTTTATCTCATGCTCACCGGGATATATCGTATTGACATAAGAATGGAAATAACCATTGTTAATTGACAATACGTCGTCGATATATCTAAATGTCGAGTTGAAGGCCACAGCAAGTGTTTTCTTCTTTTCTTGTATAAGATTTTGGGCAAATTCTGCTTCATATGAATACAGAAAAAGGTCTGCTTATAACGGGGCGCAATTGGTACCCATGGGAATTCCAATAGATTGTTGGAAGACCTGGTCTCCAAAAACCACGTAGATATTGTCAATCAGAAACTCAAGCATCTTTTTAATGTCAACTTCAGAGTACTTGTGTGTATACAATCAGAATGTTTTTTAACAAAATAATTAAATAATTTTGCAAATGACCAGTGACAAGGTGAGTAAATTTACGAGTTCGAGTTTTATTGAAAAAGCAGCCGTAAATGATATCAAAAAGCCTGGACTTTAATTTATCATGGGGAATGGTTGTGTATAAAGTTGAAAAGTCGTAAGGTTTTAGACCGTTGATTTTGGTAAATTCTTGTGATTTCAAATTTTCCAAAAGTTCCTTGGAATTTTCAAGTATCGACATCTGATTTACACCACTTCTCGAATATATTGTTGCACAGTACTCTTGAAGTTTCTTCTTCACTACTGTTAATATTTTAGTGAGGAGTAAAGAAAGAGGCTTGGTTGAACATTTACTGGAACCCGCTATGTATCTTTGTTTGTAAGGATTTTTATGAAGTTTTGGAACCCAATATAGATATGGTAATTCAAATTCATTTTGGTTGTTTGGAATATTAAAAATATTCAAAACTGACATATGATTTTGAAGAATTTCTCCCTTAGAAAAGGAACTATGAGTATAGGTTGGATTACCACTTGTAGAATTAAATCCAAGTTCCTCTAAAATACATTTAATATAATGAGCCTTACAAACAAAGACAATGTTGTTACCTGCTTTGTCAGCAGGGACCAGTACGAACTGATCATGTAATCTATCTAATTTTTTTTCACTTCTGGATTATTGAATACAGAAGGATAGATGGTTCTCATATTCCCCCTCACTCCCCTCAAAGATGTTTGATGGTGTCCTGTAGATGTGCATCTCCTCTTATTAGCCTAATCATATTATGGAATGTGATTGATAGTGTCCTGTAGATTGCAATAAGGTTTCAAAATTTTTATTTTCACCCTAGGGGTCAAATGGGGGTCAAAAATGAGATTTTTTTTTTTAAAAGCTGATTCCCAGAATTTCACCTATATAATTTTGAGGTTATCTCGAATCCCGTCTAGTTCGTGATAATGAGGTTTGACTGCATATATTTTATGTAACTATGGCAACACTGCTCAAAGAATTCAAAAACAGACAAACAGAATTGTGTATCTTAGTATAGTCTATTTGTGCAGTCTTACTGAAAACTGATCAAATCTGTAGAGTGAGTAGTGTTTTGAAAGAACAAATTTGATTCAAGACAATGTAATGAGGCTTTCACATATTTTTCACTGTTCTTGCCCAGTGGTTCTTGAGAAGAGGATTTTTGAAATTTTTCACTCTTTCTTATCTCACATTAAAAGAGAGCTTTACCCTTCTTTGAACAAACTTTAAAACCCTTCACCCAAGGATACATTGAGGCAATCTTGTTTGAATTGGCCCAGGAATTCTTGAGAAGAAGATGATATTGTAAAAACTTTACAACGAAGAAAACAACAATGAAAAAAAACGGAGACAATTTTTGATCAGAAAAGTACACGTGAGCCTTCAGTAAGCTAATTTTACAAAATGAACATTACAAGAATGTTGTAAGGATTGTAGCTATCAAAGTTATTGGTGAAATATTGAGATAACGAACAGTAATCAAGCTCAGAAGTCCATTGAAACAATACAGATCGGGAGCAGAGCAATCACGGACTTGTAAAAACATCAGAGGTGGGATCAGGTGCCATGGAGGGGTAAGCATTCCTGCCGACCGGTCACACCCGCCGTGTGCTCCTTGTCACGAAAACGAAAAATCCGTAGACAATTCAATATGTAAATAATGGCCTAACAATTAGTATCAAAAACGTCAGTCAGCATTTGACTTTATGATATATTGTTTTTGCTGATAAGGCCATTGTATCGACCATAGAACTTGCGAAATGATGACTTCAAACGAGTCTGTTTATATTCTTGTTTCATCAGCTTGTTTGTCAATAGCTTGCTTCGTTTTAGAAATTGTTCGTACGTAGAGCATGCTCTTGCGTATCGAATCAACTGGGAGTCATAACCTTATATGCAGGTGCTAATGGTATATTGCTACATAAGGGAAGTTGGCGATTGAAAAGTTGAAGTCATCATGTTTATCATAACGTTGTTATGTTACCATTAACGTCTTTTTCTTGTAAAATATCCAAATATGAAACAGATGTGGCAGGCTCTTTGGTATTTTTTATTTCAAGTTCACTGAGACATATCGAGTCGACATATGAATGGAAGTAACTATTGTTAATTGATAATACTATCACATAAACATTTTTGAAATAAATAACTTTTTAATGTTAACCTAAACTTAGACATTTATCTGCGAAATTCTTAACAATATTATTTTGTGCTTATTGTTTACTCATTTGAATTATTTTTGTCTTCATTTATCTCATTTCCCTTGAAGCAGGATTAAGACATTCCATTTTGACACTCAGTGACTGTGTCAAAAGAATTGATGCTCATTAGGTGTTAATTCCTCAGGATTTGTTCATCCCGCATCAATAACTTTTTTTATATAATTGCTTTCATGTCCTTTTGTATATCAAAGAAACACAACTATCCATCAAGTTTACTCAGCTTGTTCAATGATTGTTTACTCTTAATCTTACCCCAGAAAAGCACTATGTCCATTATATTTTCTTTAATTTAGGGGCCCGATGATCTACGTCCAACTCGGTTAAGACTCAGTTTTGACTCGTTAAACTATTGTTGAAATTCATGTTGATTGTTATTTACCATCGTCTATAATAAATTTGGAAACCTGATTTTACCATTTTTGGATTTTATATTGAAGTCCATAGGAAATACGGCACCTTTCTCGTTTACATTGCATTATGGCCCCACAGCACCACTACTTTATTACCCACCAACATTCCTTCTTCCCCTTTTGAGCTATACAACGAATACAGTCCAGGAATTATACTTTTTTAACTTATAACCAAAATCTACCTGGTTATACGTCGTCCATATATCTAAATGTCGAGTTGAAGGCCTATGCAAGTGTTTTGTTCTTCTCATGTACAAGTTTTTGAATAAATTCTGCTTCATATGAATACAAAACTAAATCTGCTAATAACGGGGCACAATTAGCACCCATGAGAATTCCGACAGATTTCAATCTTTTTTAAGGTATTTTCCGGTTTCAGGAGGAAGGGATTGCCTCCAGGGTCATGACTTACATGTATATGCTAATTTAATGCATCATGACACTGAGATGTAAACAAGATTATATACACTGTACATGTCAATTGTTATTGGTTTATCATAAAGCTTTCAACAGTTTTTGAGATATTTAGCCATTTCCAGTTTCGAGGGGAGGGGGTTGACCTCCAGGGGTCATGACCTATATTATGTTTACTGTCTCATGACACAAAGAATGAGATTTATATATGGTTAAGAGTAAAGTTTAAATGTTTTTTTTTTTTGTTTGTTTGAGATATTTGACTATTTCCAGTTTCAGCGGTTTGGATGACTTTGAGGGACCATGACCTATATACCGTTTTATGTGTTATGGCACAAGGTTATATATCTAGTTTATGGTAAAGCTTTCATTGACCTACCAGGATTCAGTCTCCCTTGCAATGTTGTTTTGTCATCTAAAATTTTCAGTTTCCTCAAAATTGTCACACACTTAATATATCATTTCATGTTTCGCATCAAGATGAAGAGATTTATACGATGGCCGATATGAGCCGTCAAAATACAAGTAAGAGTAACTCTAATATGTACGCAGAATTAATTGACTTTAAAAGTACTACCTGTATCACTTTGTACATCTTTGTCAATGACAAAACGCTTGTAATTGTAATATAAATTTGTACATGTACAAATCTTGAGACAAAATCCATTTGAAACGACTTAAC